AAAGAAAGAAAGAAAGAAAGAAAGAAAGAAAGAAAGAAAGAAAGAAAGAAAGAAAGAAAGAAAGAAAGAAAAGAAAGAGAGGAAAAGATGGATATGGCTTCTGAAAACAATTCCTGAGGTTTACCTCTGTCCTCCACATCCACTGGCACAAATGGTCACCAGCACACTTTTGGACCTGTACTCACATGAGCACACACACCTCAATTTGGGTAGCACTGAATGTTATACGCTAAACTTAAATTATAGCCAGGACAGAGCAGGCCTACCCAGGGAGGCATATGATTGAACAAAAGCTGGAATCTATTCAGTTGAGTTTCTGTTTCTAAACTGAACAAATAGTAACTATATATTAAGCTTATCTTTTTTTTTTTTTTTTAACTTCAAGGTTAGTTCTTATCTATTTATGGAATCTGGTCCTGAGAGAAAAATCAGAATGTTGAAAGATTATTTTGGGTGTAATAAAGATTAAAACTCCTTGGGTATTTGGATACTCACACTACCATTAGGGATGTGGAAGCAGAAGGATCAGAGTTCAAGTCCATCTTATAACTACAAAGTCTGAGGTCATGTAGAGTACCCACCGGGAAAAAAAAAAAAAAAAAAAAAACCTTTATTGTTTTAAGTGAAAGTGATAGTTGGGTGGGAGATGCAACTCAGTGGTGGGGTGTTTGTCTCACGGGTACCAGGCTGTGGGCTCAGTGCTTAGCATCTATCTGAGATCGTGAGTGCTGCGTGTCAGGATCATGACGTGACAGCTCAGCAGGCTCTCTTCGTTGGTGAGAGTGGGGAATAGTAACACATTTGGTTCTATGATCTTTTTCCTCGTCTTTTTCTTTTTCAGGTTCTCAAGGATATTTGCCCATCCATTCTTTTACTGGCTCAGACTCTGTTTCACTCTCAGGACCAGAGGATAGTTTTGTTTGGCAGTCTCCTATACAAGCACGCTTTTAAGTTTTTTGATACTTACTGCCAGCAGGTATGTTGAAACATTTCTTTGAGTAAGGAAGTAACAGAGATATGGAAAGGTATCATTTCAAACAAATTAGATCTGCTTTGAGGTGTAGTCTGGGTGAGTAGATGACATTGAAGAGGAAATAACTTTCACCAACAGCTTAGAAAACTCAGTTCTAAGCCAGCCATAGAGATGCACATCTGTAATCAGTTCTTAGGAAACAGAAGCAAGATGATAAACAAAATTTCGAGGCCAGACTAGGCTACAGTGCAGGACCTTGCTTCATAAACAGAGAAAGTACTCATTTCTAGTATCTTTCCTGAAGTGATATGATTGCCTTGAAGGATCCAACTATGAGAAATGAAATTTGGCTTAAAATCATGAAGGTTCTGTTCATATGTAGTCCCTCAAACAACTAACTTAGATTTTATCTTGTTTTTTTATTATGTACCTATATGTGTGTGTTTTTGTACCTGAGTATAGTTCCCTAGGAGGCCATATTTTCTTGAAATCATGCCAGCCTGATTTATGCTCTATTCACAAAACCTGTAAGGCCTTCTCCTTAAGTACAGTCTTTTCAAGAAATTTCAACACACACTAAGACAATCACAACTTGAGTAAAATTAACTCATAAATAAATATTTGGATGACTACACCAAGGAGCAAAATCAGGACATTTTGCTAGGGCCCACTGATATATTACCAAAAGTAGGTCAAGCCTGAGTGGTAATCCCTATGAGGCCTAGTACTTGAGAGATAGGAGATTCACAAGGTTGAAGCCAGCATGGGATAGTGAGTGAGGTCCAGGGAGCCAGGATAACTATGTGGTAATATAGTTATTCTGGTGTGATTACAGGCCTCCAGAAGCCTGTGACTAACTGTATCTAACTACTCATGGCAGTTAGATAATAAACAGTAAGGTAGAGGTTAGGAAGGCCATGGGTATGAACTCTTTACAATGTCCTGTTGACCTCCCTGTATAGGAAGTGGTTGGTGCCCTAGTAACCCATGTTTGCAGTGGGAATGAGGCTGAAGCTGATGCTGCATTGGATGTCCTCCTTGAGCTGACTGTACTAAGCTCCTCTGCTATGAGGCTGAATGCTGTGTTTGTTAAGGTATTGTCTATACGGTCAAACACTGACTCATTTGCTCTGCAGGTGTCTCTGCATTGCTGCTCCCTGTCAGTGAAACTTATTGTGTATTCTTCAGATACTGAGCACTATTCACAACACCCCATAACTCTAGTTCTAGGGAATCTAACCTTCTTGGGTACCAACCCTGGATGTACATATATGCAGGCAAAACACTCACACATAAAATGAATAAGTCTAATTTAAGGGAAAGAGAGAGAAAGAGAGAAAGTCGGGCAGTCGTGGCAACCCCTTTAATCCCAGCCCCCGGGAGGCAGAAGCAGGTTGATGTCTGTGAGTTTGAGGCCAGCTTGAGCAACACAGTGGGTTCTCAGACAACCAGGACTACACAGAGAAACCCTGTCTTGATGACCTCATTTTGGACATTTTTTTCCTTCATAGGGCATTTTAGATTATTTGGAGAATATGTCCCCTCAGCAAATACGAAAAATCTTCTGTATTCTCAGCACACTAGCATTTAGCCAGCAGCCTGGAACCAGCAACCATATTCAGGTAAGAGGCCATGTGTCAAGAACAAATGTTTTAAACCTCTTTATTTGAAATTTGCCAGACTAAGTCTGTGAAGTAGTAGAAAGTAATTCGTCTACATAGTGAGTTCCATGACAGACATGGCTACAAAATAAGAGTGACTCTGTGTCAACATTAAAAAATAAAACAACAAAAAAACTAATAATAAAATGATCAGGTGCCAACCCAGCCTGGGCTACATAGCAAGTTCTAGGTCAGTTTTTAGTGAGACCCTACTTAAATAATAAAAAACAACAGCAGCCAGGCATGGTCATTCACATTTTTCGTCCCAGCACTCAGGAGACAGAAACAGGTGGATTTCTGTGAATTTGAGCCAGTCTGGTCCTCACAGCAAATCCCAGCATGCCGGAGCCACATAGTGAGACCCTATCTTAAAATAAAAACAGCAAAGAAATCCTCGTCTATTGGGATCGAGATGGTTCTGAGCCTGTGATCGGCCAAACATGAGACTAAATAAGCCATGCTTTTCAGTTTCTGTATGGAGCATTGTGGGGTCACGAATGCCTAAGCCGAACTTCACCTAGGCTCACTTTCACCTGTAGTCACTGAAGAAAACTAAGCAAAGAGAATAAAACTATGAGCAATGCTTATTGGCTTGGGATCATAACTCACAGCCTTTGTAGCTGTAGTGCCACCTTGTGGCACTAAGTCTTTCTGGGCTGTGGCTTTCCAGCACTTTGTTTAGTTTAAAAGTTGTCTTGACTAGGTGATGCACAGAATCCACAGTGTACGGGGGATACACAGAGAGCAGTGACTCGCCTCTGTAGGGATAAGGCTTGCCTTCTCTGTGGCCGTCAGTGTCGCTCCTTTAGAGCTTTCCGAGGGGTCCCTGCACATTTACAAGTTTATCATTGCTTCTGTGCCGCTTTCCCTTGCAGGCGCTGTATCCTGTTTTCTCACTTAGCAGAGTATTTGAGAAATTGTTTCATATCAATAATACAAAGTTACTCCGTTATTTTGTTTTTGAATTGTGGCAAAATATATTCTAAATTTACCGTTTTTGTTATTTTTAAATATATCAGTGCATTGAGAATATTCACAGTGTGTCAGTATAATCACTATTCATTTTCATAAGTCTTTCATTATTCTGAACAGGATGGTGTCCAATGTGGCAATAATTCCTTGCCCCATTCTCCGGGAGCCTGGTAGTCTCCATTCTGTTTTCCTTTTCTAGGTAAAGACATTTGTAGAATCATATAGTGTTTGTGTCTGTCTGCCTTTTTTCACCCAGTGTTCCCAGTTTTACAGGATGTGTCAGACCGTCATTCTCCTTGTAACTGAATAGACTATTTTATGTTTATTTGACTTTTATTCTTTTATTTGTTCAAGAATGAATGTGGGTTGTTTTTACCTTCAGCTATTTGAACAATGCTGTGATGAGTTACATGCAGGTCCTTATTTGAACCTCAGTCCAGCTATGGTGTGTGCCCAGAGGTAGCTTGCTGAATTAATGGTGGTTCTATGTTCAACAATTTGAGGAGCCACCAAATTTTTTTAGAGCAGCTGCACCATTTTACATTCTTAATTTGAAAGTACAACATTTTGAGGTTGGAGTGATGGCTCAGTGGTGAAGAACATTGTCTGCTCTTCCAAAGGACCTGGGTTCAATTTCTCGCACCCACATGGCAGTTCACAACTGTCTGTAACTCAAGTTCCAGTAGATCTGACTCCCTCATACAAACATACATGCAAGACAAACACCAATGCACATTAAATTAAAATTAAAGGAAAAAGAAAGTATGACGTTTTCATTTCTGAAAAAAAAAAAATGTGGTTGGAACTTTGATAATGATTCCATTATATTCCTGAATAATGCTGTCATCTTTTAAATACTCATCAAGAACATAGGACATCTCACTATTTAGTTCTTTTATTTCTTTCAGCAGTATTTTTCTGTGTGTAGCCAAGGCACCTCAAACTCAAGTTCTGTTTATAGAGTTATTCCCCATAGAGTTATACCCAGCTAGCAGTGTTTTATAGATGTTATATAACATTTTGCTCCTTTTGTTAAGTTTATTTCTAAATGATTCATTGTGGTCTGCCAAGATTATGCATTGGGTAACTTGCTGTCAGGTGTGAAAACCTAAGTTTGATAGCATACCCTCATGTTGTAATGAGAGCACCTGTTCCTATAACTTGTCCTCTGACCTCTGTGCCTCTGCCCTGCACGTGTGCTCCCACACACGCAAAATCAATATATTTAAAAATAGCTCATTGTATCTCATTGTTTAGCTGCACAGCCATTCCACAATAATTCTCCTGTCCTAGAGTAGCTATCGTGGCAGTGCTAACGGCTGTTCTTAAATGTGTGTCTTGTTCTAGGAGCTTTGTATAATTGGTCTCTGAATTTTAGGACAACTTTCCATCTTCCACATGAGACTCAGAGAATGGAATGAGTGGAATCACTCCATTCTCTGAGTGACTTGCTCTTTTCTACGTCACTCAGCATCTTCTTTCTCTGTCCTTATCACATTGCAGGATGACATGCATCTGGTGATACGAAAGCAGCTCTCTAGCACTGTGTTCAAGTACAAGCTTATTGGGATCATCGGTGCAGTCACCATGGCCGGCGTCATGGCAGAAGACAGGTACTCACTCATGCCGAGTCTGGTTTCCGTATCTTGTTATCTGCTAGTCAAGGTGCTGCCTTATACACTTGATATTTTGCAACCATTATTTTAATAGAGAAATTAAAACTGTAAGAGAAGAGAGAAAGACTTCTTGCTGCTTTTCTATGTTCTGTTTTAATCTTTTTTAGGATTTATTTTTGTTATTTTTAATTATGTTTTTGTAGGCTGGTCTATGCACATGAGTGCAAGTACCTATGGAGGCCAGAGGTGTCAGATCCCCTGGAGCTGAAATTACAGGTGGATGTGAGCTGCCTGGAGTAGGTGCTGGGAATTGAGCTCAGGTCCTCTGCAAGAGAAACACCCTTAACTCTCGGCCATTTCTGCAGCCCATTCTTTTCTAATCTTGGCTCTATATGTACCATATACAATTTTCATAGAGTTACATCATAATATTGCCCAGAGCTACAGTGCTGGAAATCTTTCCACAGCGGCTTACCTTGGTCCTCCTGAAATTAATTTTTTAGATTCTTTTTCTCTGTGTTGATACAGTAATCTGTCTGGAGCTTCGTGTTTGGTAGAAATGCAACTTCTTTGTGGGTTCCTCACTCCATCTTACATACTTCAGTTGGCATCTGGAAAAGTATCAGAGCTGAGGTTCCATGAGATGTCACTGAAACTGACGACAGTTCAGTTTCTGCTTCTTGGTAAGGATGTGTCAGGAATTTCCAAGAGCTCAGGAGACATCCTTAAATCAGCATAATAGCTAGAAGAAGGAAAGGGAAAACAAAATCTGAAGAGGCTGCTGTGTGCTGGTTAAGATTTTCTTTCTCTGATCCATTCTACTTGTCTGGAGTTCAGTCCTGGCTCTGTTATTAGCTAATGACCTTGGTGAGTAACTCTGTCTCTGCCTTTGTAGTTTCACAGCTGTGAAATGTTAATTGTATTTACTTGGTAAAATAACTAAGAGAATTCAGGGGCTAGGACAGTGCCCGTAACATTCTACATACTGAAGAAGTGTTTTCTTTAGCTGAGCACGTGGAAGAAGGCTCATTTGATTCAGCAGTTCAAAGCTGGCTTGGGCAACATGGTGAAACTACTGTCTCAAAATAATTACTAATTTAGTGTGCCCTTAAAAATACATGTCAGTTGGTTTTACTAGTTTGCAAAATCCTCAGAATTGGAGATGCTGAAGCAAAGTGATCACTTGTACACAGGAGGTTGACATAAGCCTTGTAACCTAGTGTGATGTGATCCTGTCTCTAAAAGGGGGAATAAACATGCTTCATTGTAACATACATTTTACATGAATGTAAGAATTCCTATGCCTTCATGAAATGTTATCTCTATTCCTGTCTGAAAGAAGGTAGGACTCTTAAACTTACTGCCAATTATTATAAAATATTACAAAAATGAAACTAAAATTTCTTGTTCCTAGATGTGTACCATCTAATTCATCCCAGAGGAGAGCTGAGTTGACCAGTGAGCAGTGCACACAGGTACGTGTCTGTATCATACTCAGGTGAGTTTGTCAGTGCGTAGGGCTTACAGCTTGTCACTCTTGTTTTACCATGAAGCGCTGTGTGTTTTCTTTTCTTTTACAATGCTGGGATGGAACAGGAGTCTTGTGGATACTAGGCAAACACTACCACTGAGCTACATTTGTGACTAGAGTATTGTGTGTATCTTGTTTCAAAAATGTCTTCAAGTAACTATATTTAAAGATAAGGGTCTTCCTATGTAGACCCACGTCTGGAACTGTGTAGATCAGACTGGCCTTGAACTTGCTGGGATCCTCCTGTCTCTCCCTTCTAAGTGCTAGGATTACTGGCATGAGATGCCATGCCCCGTTTGTCTTGATAACTCTCCAGAGGTTCACGCTAGGACACACAAGAGTGTTACTTGTGCCTCTTACACTCTTTTAATGTCTACTCCAGCTCTGGTTTATTTTGGATATGAGATATGCTTGGAAAGAGACAGGCTAGAGGAGAGGCTCAGGAATGCCTCACTTGAGTTTTGGCAGCGAGAATGGAGAGAGAGCTTACTGAATGCAGAGACAAATCTGGTAAGGGTTGGTAGCCCAAGAGTCACAGCTTTCTCTCCATTTGCTCCAGGTGACTTCTTTGCTGCAACTGGTTCATTCTTGCACTGAGCACTCTCCTTGGGCCTCTTCTCTTTACTATGATGAATTTGCCAACCTGATCCAAGAAAGAAAGCTGGCTTCAAAAACCTTGGTAAGAGCAATGTTTTGATTTGGAGGTGGCAGGTGGAAACCAACTCTTGAGACAAGCCCTCACTGTGTAGCCCTGGCTGACTGGAACTTTTATAAAGACTAGGCTGCCCTTGAACTAGTGCAGTCCTCCTGCCTCTTTGTCCCCAGTTTTGGGATGACTGGTATGAGTTGCCAATACCCCATTTACAAGAATCTTTTCTTTCTTTCTTTTTTTTGTTTTGTTTTTGTTTGTTTGTTTGTTTGTTTGTTTGACACAGGGTTTCTCTGTGAAGCTTTGGCTGTCCTGGACTCACTTTGTAGACCAGGCTGGCCTCAAACTCACAGAGATCCACCTGCCTCTGCCTCCCCACATGCTGGGATTAAAGGTGTATGCCACAGTGCTGGCTCTAAGTGTCTTTTCTTTTCTTCTTCTTCTTCTTTTTTTTTTTTAAATGTTTTTTAAAAATCATTTATTTATTATTTACAAACCATTCTGCCTGCATGCCAGATCTCAGTAAAGATGGTTGTTAGCCATAATGTGGTTGCTGGGAATTGAACTCAGGACCTTTGGAAGAACAGCCAGCGTTCTTAACCTCTGAGCCATCTCTCCAGCCCCCAAGTGTCTTTTCTTAAAGGAATTAAACATCAGAGCTTCTTTGTGACACATTAAGGCTTTCTCTCTGTTGCACCCCACCTAGTCTCTGGGCTTTCCTGAGGTTCCTCCATATAAAAATGGTCATAATAGTAGAAGTGCAAAAAGGTTCTTGGTGATCGGCACCATTTGTTTAACAGCCCTGGTCTGTGCCAGGCACTGAATGAAATGCTTTTTGTGCATTGTGTGTGTGTGTGTGTGTGTGTGTGTTTTAGTTTTTCTTCATAGTATTGGAGGTCTGTGTTACTATTTCCTTTTTAGAAATGAGAAGCCTAAGTTTTAGAAAGGTTAGTGGCAGTTTAATTAGGGCTATATGGCAAATATATTCCTCACTACACCATTCTTGTTTGCACCCGGAAGGAATGGGTTGGGCAGACCATCTTTAATGATTTCCAAGATGCCTTTGTGGTGGACTTCTGTGCTGTTCCTGAAGGGTAAGTGCTGTTTACATTCTGGGTTGGCTACTACTGAGGAAGTTGTATCAGTTCAGTTCCTGATACAAACTCCACACTACTTCTGCCTTCAAGTCAGCTCTGTCCACTGCAGCTCACTCCCCAGCCCTAACACTTTGTACCCCAGCTGTACAATGGCTAAAAACACCTTCACTTATGTTCTCTGTTTACTAATTTTTCCTATAATTGTTTTGTTTAAGTTGGTTTGTTCTAGTGATTTCCCATATACCTTTGTTTTCCTCCCAGTTGGGACATTAGATTTTGGGTTCTCTTCACAGTGATTTTCCATTTCCTGTGAAAGCACTCTATGGACTGGAAGAATACAGCACTCAAGATGGCATTGTCATCAATCTCCTGCCCCTGTACTTCCAGGAATTTGTGAAAGATGTCAGTCAAGTGACTTCCCAAGAATCGAGACAAAAGTTAGTTGTTCATTCTGTTGGTATTTGAATATTCACGGGGAATTCTATTGTTTGTTTTTAAGATTGATTTATTTATTATGTATATAGTGTTCTGCCTGCATGTATGCCTGAATGCCAGAAGAGGGCACCAGATTTCATTAGCAATGATTGTGAGCCACCATGTGGTTGCTGGGAGTTGAACTCAGGACCTCTAGAAGAACAGCCAGTGCTCTTAACCTCTGAGCCATCTTTCCAGCTAGGAATTCTATTGTTTTAACAAAATTCTCTTAATATTAATGAATGAATGAATTTATTTGGTTAATGTGTGTGTGCACCTAAGTGCATGTATCTGTACCACATGCATGCAGCAGCCCATGGAGGTTAGAAAAATGTGTTGGCTCCCGTGGAACTAGAGTTATAGGTGGTTGTGATCCACCATGTCGGTTTTAGAAACTAAACCTGGGTTCTCTGCAAGAGCAGTAAGCACTCTTAACTCCTGAGCCATCTCTTCAGCCCCATTTTATAGTTCTTTTAATGTGTGGAGTCCTTGCATCAAAATGTTTCTTCCAAGAAAGGTTGTCTCTGGAGATCTTAGAGGGATGCAGTCAAATTCCTCTTTTTCTTGGTTCCTGGGATTGAGAGTTGTCTTGCCATGAGAGTCAGCACACACTGCACTAGCCTATTTGCTGTCCATGCCCTTTACTTTCTTTTCATAAATGTTTTGCCTCTGTCTGACTTATCCCCTCCTTCCTACTTCTGCCTCACACCCGTTGCACATAAACTTTTCCTTCTTGTACTTTAGGTTGTTATTTGCTGAGCATTCATTGAGTTACTTGCTGTTTTTCTTTAATTGCAAAAGTGAGCTCCTGGGGCTGGAGAGATGGCTCAGAGGTTAAGAGCACCAAAGGTCCTGAGTTCAATTTTCAGCAACCACATGGTGGCTCACAACCATCTATAATGAGATCTTGTACCCTCATCTGGCATGCAGGCACACATGCAGCCAGAATAATGTACAAATAAAACAAATAAACAAAGTGAGCTCCTGTAAATTTGGATTATCATGACTGTGGTACTAAGTGTGCTTCCTGAGGTGGATTTTTCCTTCCCAGGTCAATGTCTTCTCTGTGCCTGGCTTCCCATTTCCGGCTGCTGAGACTCTGTGTAGCAAGACAACATAACGGAAACTTGGATGAGATTGATGGTCTCTTAGGTAAGGGATGCAGTTCTCATATCCTTCCTTTGTGCTCTTTTGGTAAAGGCAAAAGCCAGGCATGTTTCTTATATATGTGAAATGGAATTTTGTAACGTCAGACTAGAATTGCAGCAATAATGGAATGTCAGTCAAATGAGCTTGTGTGGAACGAGGCATTCTCTTTGTAATTATGGCTGAGTGCTGTATGCTGAACACATTCTTCTTCTTCTTTTTTTTTTCTCCTACTTGTATGTATTTACTTTTTATTAGTCTAAATCTGGGAGGGGTACAGCATCATGACACAGATTTTGTGACCAATGGCCTTTGCATGAAGCCTGCTTAGATATTTGGCATGAACCATACCAAATGGGCCCAAGTTTCCTTTCCCTAAATCACTCTGGTTTTGTTTGGTTTGCCTCCAGGAGTCACTGTGTTGTTTTCTGCTTTATATAAGAACATAGTAGAATTCAGTTTCTCTTGGGCATGAACACCTTCAGTGTTAAGAAGAACTGTGTGTTCTCTTTGGTTCTAGAGACCCTGGTTATAGCCAGCAAAAATGGCCTTTGCACCATAGCTTTCCAGACGTATTTGCCTTTTACAAGTCCTGTTTCCAACAGGCTTCCATAGGTGCCAAGGTGGGGTAAAAAGTATGGATGTAAAAAAAAGGGATTTTTTTGAGACAAAACAAAGCTTGATCCTCAAATAGGAGCTTAAGGGGTAAGTAGGTAGCTGTGGGGGCCAAGACCCGTGTTCTTCAACCTTGAGCTAAAGGGAGGTGGCACATTTGTTCTTTCTCAGATTGCCCTCTGTTCCTGCCTGACCTGGAACCTGGAGAGAAGCTGGAGTCCATGTCTGCTAAAGAGCGTTCCCTCATGTGTACACTCACATTCCTTACTTTCAACTGGTTCAGAGAGGTGAGCAGAATTACTGGGATGCCTCACTCACTATCTGTTCCTCTCAAAAAAAAAAAAAAAAAAAAAAAAAAAAAAAAAAAAAAAAAAACAAAACAAAGCAAAAACTATTTTCTTGGTTCCTGCAAACTTCCTAAAAATCCCCTGAACCACCAATGCCCATGCTTCTCTGGAGATGTATCCTGCCACTGGTGACCTGATGTCCCTCCTGCTGTCCCCAGCCAGAGAACTTAGAACCCTCACTGGGCAGCTGGCTTTTCAGGCCACCTGTACTCCCGCTTTTCCATACAGTGGCCTCTCACTTCTGTGCTGGGAAATCCTGTTCTTTTGCTACAGGCCTCTGCTCACTTTTTGGACTCAGGAAGAAATGGGTATAGTTTCCTTCCTTGAAAATGTGTTTGAGGACATTGGTAATGGCAGTGTTGGTTGCTGCCTCCCTGCCTTTTGTTGCATTGTACTTTACATTTATAGAACAATTCCCACTTTATAGATAAAGAAAAAAAGCTTAGAAAGATTACAGCCCTGCCAAAGCAACATGGGAAATAAATAGTAGCATAAGACTTGATTTGCTGAAGTACGTGTCTGATATCCCACCAAACTGCATAATAAGCAGTAAGTAGAAGTAGGATTAAAAATTAGGCTTCTTAAATTTTGGCAGAGGGAGAACACTGCTACACTATGTTAGCTCTCCATCACTGAGTCATAACTTCCAAATGGGATTGTAGAAAGAGGGGTTTTGTCACTTTATCCTTTAAAACTTTATGGGACCAGAGTGATAGCCCATCAGCTGAGGTTACTTTGCTGCTACTCTGCACCAGAGTTTGGTTTCTTGTACTGGCATGGGGAGGTTCAGTAACTCCAGCACCACGCTCTCCTGGTCTCCAAGGTCACCCATGTGCACATGCGCGCGTGCGCGCGCGCACACACACACACACACACACACACACACACACACACACATATAGGAGTGCACCAATAAAAATTTTTAATCTTATTTAAAACAATTGTTTTCTTTATTATTTCAAATTTTCTTCCTAAATTTTGTCTTTCTGAATTTACATCAACTTTTAAGTAGTCTCTAAACAAGTCCTCCAGGAAGAAATACTCTCCTTTTTCTATTAACAAAGGTGCATCTTAGACCTCTTGCATACTTTGTTGTTATTTTTTTTTGCATTTCATTTACATATATTTATTATAATTTTTATCTACCTGTAACTTTTCTTTTACAGAGAATGCTATCACAGACAACTGTGAACTGTCTGTCATAAGTAATGCATGAAGCCCTAGCTTCTATCCCCAGCACCCCATAACTGGGTGTGGGGATTTGTGCCTGTTTCTAGCTCCAGCACTGGGAGGTTGAGACAGGAGGATCAGGGGTTGAAGGTCATTCTCAACTACATACTGAGTTTAAAAACAGTCTGGTCAGGGCTAGAGAGATGGCTCAGCAACTAAGAGCACTGTCTGCTTTTCCAAAGGACCCGGGTTCAATTCCCAGCACTCACATGGCAGCTCACCACTGTCTATAACACCTGTTCCAGGGGACCCTACCCCTTTACACATGGAGACAAAACATCAATGTACATAAAAAATAATAAAAAAGAAAATTTGTAAAAACCCAGTCTGGTGTATGAGACTTTTTCATTCCCTTGCAGATTAGCACATTTTATGGTATACTATTTCATATATAGATATATCTGCTTCACTGTATGTTTGTTTGCTTGTTTGAGACAGTCTCACTGGCTGGCCTGCATCTCCCTATGTTAAATCATGGCCATGTTCCTGCCTCATGTCCCAACCATTGGGATTATAAATATAAACCACCATACCAAGCTCATATGATTTATATTAAAAAAAATATTTAGTGTAGTAAATATTTCATCCCTGGGGAAGAAAAGCAAATAAAGGTTAATGTCCACATATGACAGAATTTTTTGTTTTGCAGGTTGTGAATGCTTTCTGCCAACAAACATCTCCTGAGATGAAGGGCAAGGTTCTTAATCGGCTGAAGGACCTTGTGGAACTTCAGGAAATCCTAGAGACATACTTGGCAGGTAAGAAGGGCTGTGCTGCAAGCTTCTGTTGTCAGTGCTGAGGGATGAGCAGCTTAACTTTATTTTTTTAAATATTTATTCATTTATTTGGTTTTCTTTTGAGACAGGGTGTCTCTGTGTAGTCCTGGCTATCCTAGAACTTACTTTGTAGACTTGGCCTGCCTCTAACTCACAGAGATCTATGGGTTTCTGCCTCCATGGCTAGGTAACCTTTGCTTTCTTAAATATAGTCGTGAACCAGCAATGAAGATGAGGCCTTTTCATTCCTCTGACTATTAAGTCAACTGGTTGTTTTTAAATGCAGCTTATGGGGCTCAGATGTGAAGAGCACTGGCTGCTCTTCTAGAGGAGTTTGATTCGAAGCACTCACATGGTACCTCACAACTGTCTAACTCCATTTCCACAGTATTCAACACCATTTTCTGGCCTCTGGGGGTACCAGGTATGCATTGGATATACATGCAGATATACATGCAGGCAAAATACTCATACACATTAATAATTTAAAAAAAGAAAACTTTTTAAATGCCAGCTTAGACCTGAGTGTAATGTTACACACTTTTCATTCCAGCACTCTGGAGGCAGAGGCAGGTGGATCTCTATGAGCTCAGTACCAGCCAGGGCTACATAGTGAGGTCCTATCCTAGACAGACAGACAGGCAGGCAGACAGACACAAAAACAAAGACAAAACCTAAAAATGCCAGTTTAATTCTATAGGGAAAGTAAGAAGCCTTTCTTGGGCCCTCATCTTAAGTAATGGAATGTGAAATAAAAAGGTATGTGACCCAATGCTACTATCTTTGGATTTCTAAGTGATTTATTTTTAGTTTCTTTTTGTTTGGTTGGTTATTTTATGTTGTTATTGAAAATGGTTTTATATTAATTGATCATAATCAGTTACCGGAATATAATACTCCTCTAAGCTCTGCTCTCCATTTTGCTGTGCCCAAACCACATCAGATGAATGACTGGAGAAGTCCATGTTGCAGGCATTTGCTGCTGCAGGTGGTGAATTTGGAAGCCTATTTCTAGATATTTGGATAATTGGATCACTGTGGTTGGTGTTCCTTACTCCTACTCTGTTTCAGTCATCCCAGACTATGTTCCGCCTTTCGCAAATGTTGACTTGGATACTTTAGATGTGGTACCTTGGAGCAGTTCTACTGTTTCAGCAAAAAACAGAAACAAAGCAAAGATGGGTGAGTATATTTCTTTCTTGTCCCTATCTGATCCACACTAAATTAATCTCACGGGTTATATGTATTGTGACATTTATATTTGAAAAGATCAGAGTGCCAGTGACACACTTGGTTAGTGAGTGGTGCTTATACAGTAACTAGTAAGATCTCCCATCAAATCTTCCCTTAGAAGCTGTGTAATGTTGTGTAGCTTGAATCATAAAATTTTCTCCCCCTTTCTTGAGGGCTTCTATTTGGCAAAATGTGCTTGTTGATTACTTGAGTCATTTTTCTCTTTTTCCAACATAGGGGGAAGGAAACAAAAAGCTGATAGCAGCAAAGCATCCTCCACTGACACACTTCCGACAGAAGATGCTTCAGAATGTGACCCGGCGCCGTCTGGAAAAAGCCAAGGAGACAAGGTACTGGGATGTGTGACAAAAGTTTGTGACTGCTGAGTGAGAATAAGACCGGCTTTATTCTCTGTGTGTTTTGAAGAGAAGAAATAGGAAGAGAGGTGAATGAAGTCTCCTGGGCCTCAGAATGACCCTTGAATAGGAGAGTTTTGACTATTCTCAAAATTCTTGGTTATTTCCAACTAGAAATCATGTACTGTCCCTTATGCAGAGGCAACCTCAGTTGACAGATTGCTTAGATCAGATTGGCCTGTGCCCATGTCTGTGAAAGATTGTCTTGATTGATGAGTGATGTGGGAGGGCATAGTTCCTATGAGTGGCACCATCTCTAGGCAAGTGGGCCTGGGCTGTTTAAGAAAGCTAGCTGAGTATGCGCAGGAAGCAAGCGGCAACCCTCTTGTCATTTCTGCTTCAGTTCCTGCCCTGGTTTTCTGTGATGGAGTGTGACCAGGAAGAGTAAGATAAGTAAGCCCTTTCCACCCCAAGTTACTTTTGGTCAGCATATTCTATCATAGCCACAGAAACCAAAGTAGGACAGTGTTTATTGCGCTACTCAGATAGCTGATTTTTCTAATTCTCTTCTGCATATTTTATACCTGTGTTTTCTCCCCTGTAGTATTTTGAATGCTGTTTTATAATAGTTATCACACTGTATCTTAGAATACACCGCCCCTGCCTTAGATTTTTCAGACAGGGTCTCTCTAGGTAGTAGAAGCTGACCTCAAACTTGTGATCCTTCTGTCTTAGTGTCTCTGGGACACTAAGTTGGGACTGCAGTCATGTACTTCCATACCCAGTGTGATATTCTTTTAGACATACTTCCTTTGGCCTTTCTCCTGTTTACCCCTGACCATAAACTTAGTGACCTGGATATAATGGCACATGCCTGTAATCTCAGCATTTGGAAGGCTATGTCAGGAAGATGATCAAATATTTGAGGCTGCCTGGGCTATATGCAAAACCTTGTCTCAAAACAAAAACAAAATATAGTTGATAAGATGTCTTAAACAGTAAAAGCACCTGCTGTCACACCTGAAGACCTAAATTCGATCCCCAGAACTCACATGGTGGGAGGAGAAAACCGATTTTTATGAATTGTTCTTTTACCTCCATACATGTGCTGTGGCATGCACACAAACATAGAAAATAAATATAATGTAATGAAAAAAATTAAAGCCACAAATCATAATAAATGACTAAATAAACTGTGAATGGTTCTGAAATGCTTAATATGATTTGTGGTAGTTGATGAGTCTGCTGTGACATTCACATTCAAGACATTTCCTGGACACGTGGATGTGTTTGTTTCATAGCTACCATGTGTTCATTTAATTTATTATGTATAACTCTTCTAATCTCCTAAAAGTCCAAGGTTATTGTTAATGTTAATATCTATATCTAATTCTGTTGGAGGTTGGTCTAATGCTAATTACTGGCACTCAAGATCTGGTTACTACCTGGATACACCCATCCTTGTTTGTGTAAACCTGCTTAAAACATTATGCCTGATTGGTTTATTAAATGGCCTATACCTGGGTAGGGCAGAATGGAGTAGGTGTGGCTAGGTTCCCAAGCTTTTGAGGACAGAAGAATCACAAGAATCACAGAACAGACAGATGGGAAGAGAGGAAGAAGGAGGACTCCACGACGGGTTAGCTGGAGAAGCAACCACGTGGGGCTGGGAGGAAGGATTCCAATAATGGTGTGAAAAAGCCCAGATAAAGAATAAAAGGAAGTATTTATAAGATTGTTCGTGAAAGATAGCATGGATAAGGAGGAAGGCATTGAATGGGGGCTGGGAGATGGATGGTGAGGTGATTCAGCCAGCATAGGTAGGAATATTTGCCCAGCCCAAGGTAAATAAAGCCATTATAAAATCTAACAGGTGTCTGTGTCTTATTATTTGTGATAGCAGGTTAGATAATACCACTGTGATAATCATAGGGCAAATAATAATAAACATTTTATAGCCCAACACTCCATGTATTTTTTATTTTCAACACCGTAATTCATTAGATAATTTATAAACAAAGAGGGGAAAGTAAAAGGCTTGCTCAAAGACATACAATGTGTGCTTGAACTAATGATGGAAAGCAGATCATCCTGGTCTTTTAGCTCACAGCCCTCTGTACCGTCCAACATGCTTTTATTTCCCTGATAGTTTATCGTTAAGTAGAAACTACTAAAGATGCTGTTGTTGTGTATTATACCACATCAAGTGCTGTGGCTTGGGGGATAGTTACAGAATTTAGTGAAAGGAATGTGGTGATGTAATGAAATTAGAATTTTTTACCAAACATGCATGTGTATTAGACTTTAGGTGATAATTAAAGTTAGATTTGGGGGGCTGGGGAGATGATCACTCAATGGTTAAAAGTACTTACTGTTCTTCCAGAAGATAGGTTTTCAGTTCCTAGCACCCACACTCGGTAACTCACAACCACTTATAACACCAGCGTAGGTGAGGTCCAGTGCCTCTCCACTCACAAGTACATACACACACACACAATTTTAAAATAAAATTAGATTAAAATGTTTTTTTTTTTAAATTAGGCTAATATCTGAGAACTTCTTTGTCTGCTCCTCCTTTTCCCCCAGGAGTCCACAGGGAAGGAAGGAAAGTCATCTGTGTCACTGCAGAATTACCGTGGTTTTCTCCGAGAGCTGGACATTGAAGTCTTCTCTATTCTACACTCTGGACTTGTGGCAAAGTTCATCTTAGACACTGAAATGCACACTGAAGTAAGTGACAGTCTGGGATCCCAGGACTTACTCTTTCAGGAAGTTTCGTAGGTCTGTTCCTACATCATGAAGGACTCAGATATTTAAAGTAGTTGGGCAAGGTGTAATGGCACACAACTTTAACCCCAGCACTTGGCGATACGATCCTTACATGCAGGTCACCAGTTAGAAGCACTGAGTGTACTTAAATAATGGAGTGCTGTTGGGGCTTAAAGATGTCATTTAAAGATGTCATGACATTTGCTCAGCATCAAATAGATACTTCTAGAGGTCATTTCTATGTTGACAACTAAACCTGGAGGCACCGGCGGTGCAGCAGTGTGCACAGTTTGCCCCTCGCCTTCAGTCAGTCAAGTGTCATAGAGGAGGTAGAGACAACTGCTCCACCTCGTATTCCTCTCAGAACTTCAGTAAGAGAGTGTTCTTCCTAATGAATTTGAGAATAGAGAATGTTCTCACAGAGAAGGCAACTTTTGATAAGGATTTTCACTAGAGAATGGAATTTCTTCAGACTAAAACATTTCAAATGGCATGGATTTTTACTGAATAGTTGTAAAAATGTAGGCATCTTCAGGATAGACTCGGTATTGTGCGTGTGTGTGTGTGTGTGTGTGTGTGTGTGTGTGTTTGTTTGTGCTTTGTTTACATTTTAAGTTTTCTTGATCAATCTGCTCATAGAAGATTCTCCATAAATGTGTACTGAATAAATGGCTTACATGGGGCATTTTACCCATCTCTTGTCATGTACTTATATGTAGAATGATTCACCATGGTGTATAGCAGTGAAAAGGGGAAGGAAATATGGCCCCTGAGGAATCTGGTGAGGTGACTCAGAGGGTAAAGCCCTTGCCACCTTTTACATAGACACCGGGGCTCTAAGCTCCAGCCCTCCTGCTTGTGTGGCAAGTGCTGTCCACTGAGCTTGCTTTCTAGGCCCCTAGTTCCTTTTTTTTTTTTTTTTAATTGAATTAAAAGTCAAATTCAGTTCTTCACCCAATGGGAGGGATAACCATGAAATATACCAAAAGTACTGTAAAAGGGGCATGATTGAAGTTATTCTTCATCTTCCCTACCACAGGCTACAGAAGTTGTACAGCTCGGGCCTGCTGAACTGCTTTTCTTGCTGGAAGATCTTTCCCAGAAGTTAGAGAATATACTGACTCCTTCTTGTGCCAAGAGAATCTGCTTCTTCAAGGTTAGTAGAGGCACAAGCTGGGCTTAGGAGTCTTGGAAACAGGCAGATATTACTGGTGAGTTGGGTTTAACTTACTAGGCAACATGGTGGCATTCCTGTTAACCAGGTCATAGCCACCTTGCCCTGTACAGGCGGGGCTGCAGTGCTGCCTAACCCTCTGAAAAGCCCAGGCTGGATCCCTCAGAGTGTGTGTGTGTGTGTGTGTGTGTGTGTGTGTGTGTGTGTGTGTGTATTTTTCTATCCCAAACATTCTGAATTCTGAGCTTTCCCAGGTTTTCCCTTCTATTTCTGCAAAACTGAGGCTAAGACCCAGAGCCTCACGGGTACTAGACTACCACTGAGCTACACCTGTAGTCCTCAGGTTTGATGCAGATAGCCTCCCAAACTAAGCTTGTGTATAAAACTTAGTGTAGAACTTGGCTGCCTAGAGAGGCCGGAACCTCAGATGTGCGTAGAAGATACAAAAGCACCTAGCATATGTAAGTACTTATACGGTGATGGTAAGATGTGTTATTTGTTCATAACTAATTGTTATTTGCCCACACTCATTAGTTATGATGGTCTATACTTTGACTTTTGAGATAGTCTCCTATAGCACAGGCTGGACTTGAACTCACTATGTAGCTGATAATTGTCTTGAGGTTCTAATCCCCCTGCCTCCATCTCCCTTCTGAGATTAAAGGAATAATCACCGTGCCTGGCCAGAAGAGAGGTTCAGATCCCTCTGGAGTTAAAGTTACAGGCAATCATGAGCCACCCTGTGGGTGCTGGGGAACAAACTAAGGGTCTTCTCTAAGAGCAGCAAGTACTCTTAACTGCTGAGCCATCTCTCCAGCCCCATGTCTAAACTTTTTAATCAAATCCTGTTCTAGATCTACAAAATCCATTCCCTTAGGTACTTAAAACTAAAGGAAGAATTCTTTTCTTTTGCTATCATTTTTATCCTTTTGTTATTACCTTAGGCAAGCAAATTACCTCTTCTATCCACTGCTACCTGGAATCACAATTTTGAACTCCTAACTAATGATTAATGTAAAGAAGTTATCCAGTTTCCCCTCATAACTCTAAGATTTATTGTAGAATAAAGGAAACCGGAATATTGGATTCTCACATCTTCATCAGAGATCTGTCCAGGACATTGTGCATTGTGTTGTTCAGCTGCTAACCCCAATGTGTAACCATCTGGAGAACATTCACAACTACTTCCAGGTCAGAAGAATGTCTTGTAAGACTAGAAACCATGTAAGCACAGGCAAGCAAGCTCTGGTGTGTAGGCAGCTCTGAGAGGAGAAAGGAGATAGGAGGGAGCGAGGGAGGTAGAGCTGAGTTAGAGGTCAGGGAGGCAGGCGGGCTCTTCAGTAGAAATGCATGAGCAGCTGCACAGCTTAGGCCTCCAGAGGGGGTCGGAACTGTCCAGAGCGGCAGGACAGGCAGGCTTCAGAACTTCGAGGGAGGGAGAAAAATTCACTTCCAGCAGGCTTAGTCTTGTGGGTCTGTAAGTAACTACCAAAGAGTTAAGCTGAGAAAGACTGAAGGGGAATGAGAACAATTACAGGAAGAACCAGACTGAAATCTCTTTTCTTTTAGTGCCTAGGTGCTGAAAATCTCAGTGTAGATGACGAGCCAAGAGTGAACGCTCAGGAGCACCACACCATGGCTTCCTGCTACCAGAAGCTGCTGCAAGTCCTTCATGCACTCTTTGCGTGGTGCGTGCGTGTAGGAAGTGTTGTAGGAGGAAATGAATGTACTTGCTCTCACTTACGATTATTCCCTGAGAGAAGGGGGGAGGGAGCTGGATACAGCCCTTACTGTGCTTTCTTCTTTTTCATTTGAGTTCGTAAAACCACTGAGTCTTAAGGGCCTGTTTCCAGCCAGTTTGATAACCTAGATGGCTTATTGATTAGATAAAACAACAAACCTGGACCTCCCACTCCTTCTGTTTCTTGTTGCAAGCACTCTGTAATAACTAGGGAAGCCAGCACTGTGGCACATGTCTGTAATCCAGCTATTAGGAAAGCTGAAGCAGAAGGAAAATGAGCTCATGTGGGGGTTTGAGACCATACTGAATAAGACAGGAACACCCCTCATCTTAAAAAAAAATAATTTTTTGTTATTTAGTAAAAAAAAGAAGTGGCTAATTAGTTAAATTTTAAATAATTTGTAAGTAAATCACAAATTATGTGGTAAAAAAGTAAGCACAGTGTGAATTGGAATATTTGGGGGTGCCATGGAAGCAGTGGCATTTGATGAGGCTCTTTGGAACAGGATTTCACAGATTGTGGCCTTGAACTTGCTCTGTGACCTCTGATCATCCTCCTGAGTACTAGTATTACATACCTGGCTTCTGTGTGGTGCTGGGGATGAAACCTAGGATGAAACCAGGCATGATAGGCAAGCACTCTGCCATCTGAGCTACATCCTCACCCTCAATAGGCCTTTAAAGAATCAATTGTCTTTTTATTTTACTTTTTACATTTTAAAAATTATGCATGTATGTGTCTGTGCCCTTAAAGGCCAGAAGTGGGTACTGGGCCTCCTGGAGCTGGAGCTGCAGGTGCTTGTGAACAGCCCAATATGGGTGCTGGGAACCAAACTCAGGTTGTCTGCTCTTGCTCTATGCAAGAGCAGTACATGTTCTTTACCACTGAACTCTCTCTCCAGCCCCACTGCTTTTAAAAATAAGGATAGAAATGTATTATAACTGAACTCGTTTTTACATTTTTATTGTGTGTGTATATTTGCGCACTAACGTGCTCCTCTTCCACCAAGTGAACCGAGGGGTCAAGGTCAGGCTTGGCAGCAAGGGCTTCACCTGCTGAGTATCCCACTTGTCCCAGAAGTTGGTTTTTAGGGAGGTAAAGAGTTGACAGCTTAGCATGGGAGAACGTAGAAATTAAGGCATGCCTCTAGGTATTCTGTTCCTCAGTCAGTCATGTCTTATCCCATCTGTCCTCTTTGAGCAAGTTTTCTGGAGAATTTACCCAAGCTTAAATTTATGCTAAATGTTCTCGTCTGAGCTAAGGCAAGATTGTATCCAGCTGCCTACTCAACACCCGCCTGGATGTGTCATTGACACCCCAGACTCATCACATCCAATTCAGAGCTAAATATCACTCACTGTTCCTCCAGCTCTGCCTCACTTGAAAATGCCATCATCAGTCTCGTGTGCCAAAACCCAGGAGTTATTCTTTTGCCTCCTACTTTCTACTCTTTCCCACATGTAACCCTAAATTCTATTGATTGCATCATCTAAATGGACATCTGCTTCCCTCATATCTGACCTAGTTTCACAATTGGCCTTTCTGTCCAGATGTCCTGCCTCGGTCTGTTCTTCACAAGTCACAGAAGTCTTCCCAGTTGTGATTGCTGATGGCCATTGGGCTCTCCCAACTCAAACACTTTGGCCTGCCTTTTCCCCCTGTTGTCTGGCTTCTGCTCTCGCACCTGCTGTCTCACGTTCTGCCTGCAGGTAGACTGAGTTCATTCAGCACCCTTCTTAACCCTTCAAATGCACACGTCCTCCTACAGGACCCTTGGCTACTTGGTCTGCACCCTCTTCTTACTGAATCTCTTCAGTTTCTGGAAGAAATCAGTTAAGTTTCTCTAACCTTGCGAAGTAAACTTCTTCCCTTGCCCTCAGCTCCTTTCCAACACTGTGGCATTCTCTTCTGGTAAAACTTGACACATTTTGTTAAAATTGCTTGTTTATTTTTCTCCTCTGTTAACTGTACTACTCTCCACAAAGGCAGATGTGAGTCATTTCTATATTCTCAGTACTTAAAAAGCAATGCCTGATAAAAGATTTACATTGCGAGTTCATCAAGGAGATTTTTTTTAACAGTAAACACAAAAAGAATATTCATTATTAAGAAAATACACACACACATACACACAAGCATGTGCACACTCACAAAATGTATGAAAGGAAAAGGAAGATGTTGCTGGAGAAGATGTAGGGATCTGATTATGTAGACTCTTGAAAGTCAGGCAAAATGTAAATTTAAAATTTTTTAATTACTTTTTTTTTTTTTTTTTTAGTTTTTAGTATTTATTTTGTCCTCACGTAGTACCCAAGTAATCCTCCTGAAACAAGGCTGAACCACTTTTTTTGACTTTGCTTTAGGAAAGGATTTACTCACCATTCAAACCATCGCCTCCTGCGCTCAGCCCTAGAGGTCCTCTCGAGCCGGCTGAAACAGACTGAAAAGGAACAGCCCTTGGAGGAACTGGTCAGGTGGGTCAGAGCATTCCAGTATGTTCTCAAGAAATCCTAGAACTGGATTGGCAAAATTTTTCTGGAAGCATTTATTCTCTCAGTTCTGAATAAAATCTATACTTATCTGTCACTTTCCCTTAATGTATGTGTTTTTTCATGTTTTTTTTTTTTCATTATTTACTACTTTTTTTGAGACTGGGTCTCATTATGTAACTCTGTTCGTCTGGAACTCATGATGTATGTAGACCAGGCTGTTCAGAGATCAGCCTGATCAACTCTCAGAGATCCACCTGCCTCTTGAGTATGCAACACCACACCCAACCCAATGTATGAGTGTGTGAGTGTGAGTGTATGTCCTCCAGAAGAGCAGCAGGTGGTCTTAACTTCTCAGCTCTCTCCCCAGCCCCTCATTTTGATCTTTTTGAAGTAGGGCCATGCTATTTATCCTAGTGTGACCTCAAACTCACTCTTCTCCTGTCTCAGCCTTCACATTGTTAGGATTACAAGCATGTGCCATCACTCCCTACTCAGCATGTCGGAAGCAACTAGTTGTACTGATTGGCAGTCCCCTGCCATCCTGCCCCATTGTCCCCCATCATTGTAGTGGCGAGTTCAAGGCCAGCTTGGTCATCATGAGATCTTCCTCACCCCCATAACATCACAAAATAGCAAATAATTTATTCAAGGTTTCATGTGGTACCCTAATGCTTGCACTTCTTGGTATATGTGATCCCCCCATAAGATAAAATTTTGTCTATGTAACTTTTTTCTACCCAGACTTCTGTAAAAGGTAGTTTTCTGTTAAGATTCTTGAATGAAACTTAGTACCATGCTAACTATGGTGGCATACATCTTTAATCACAACACTCAGGAGACAGAGACAGGTTGACCTCTGTGAGTTGAGGCCAGCTTGGTCTATAAAGTGAGTTCTAGGCCAGTCAGAGCTACATGTGAAACCTTGTCTTTAAAAGGGGGGGGGGGGAGTATTAAAAGCACTTGAAAATGAGGTGAATTGTTTGTGCTATTAAATACTTATATTTTATCTACTTACATATGTATATGAGGGCAGAGTTCAGCTTACAGGGGTTGGTTTTCTCCTTTTCCCACTTAGTTTCCTGGGGTTGAACTCAGGTTGGCAGGCTTGTCAGCAGGTCTCTGCCAGCTGCACCATTTGCTGCTCCCCCCCCCCCACCTCATGTAAACTACTGGGAGACAAGTCGGGCAGCTAGTGTGCATGTAAAGACATCTTTAATGCATGTGCTGCTATGTCTTTTCTTTTGTGTCTTGCTTCTTTACAGCCAGAGCTTCAATTACTTGCAAAATTTCCACCAGAGCATTCCCAGTTTCCAGTGTGGTCTGTATCTTCTCAGACTTTTGATGGCCCTTCTGGAGAAATCTGCAGTACCTACTCAGAAGAAAGAAAAACTTGGTGATGGCCCAGATCCCTTTTTTTAGATATGAATAGGATTAATATCTTAAATTTGTAAATTCGTTGTCTACTAGAATTTTGAGTGTTTTTTCCCACAAAATCATCAGCATGCTCTCTCACTTCACCAGACAGACCATTTTCTCAGAAAGGGCGATGACACTGCTTAGTGTAACTTTGATTAGACTAATTGATTATACAGGTTTTTATAAGATGTATTTATTTTGCTTTTATTTTTTGTGTATGAGTGTTTTGCCAGCATGTATGTCATATGCGTTCGAGACCAGAAGAGGGCACTGGATCCCCTATGACTGGAATTACAGTTATGAGCTGCACAGTGGATGCTGGGAAACTAATCTAGGTCCTCTGGGAGACCAGCAAGTTCTCTTAACCGCAGAGCTATCTCTGTAGCTGCAAGTTTTCTTTTTTTTTTTTTTTTTGGTACAAGGGATTAAATCCAGTGCTAAACTATTGAGCTCTGCCCTCCATTCTTGATAATTTTCTGTTTAACTTTCTGTTTGTCTTTAGCCTTTTTTTAAAACACAATGTTCTGGTTTGTATTTCTGGATGGTATGGAACTCTATGTATACCAGGCTAAGCTTGGATATGTAGCAATCCTATGTTTTCTTCTTCTCACTCTCAAGTACTAATATAATAGGCATATACCACCACGCCCTGTATAAGTCTTAATAATCTGCTTCCTCTTTGTCTTAGATACTTATATACTTTTCTATTGCTGTGATAGTTGCAGGACCAAGGCAACTTATAGAAGAGTTTATTGGGCTTATACTTCAGAAGGTTGGCATCCATGACCATCATAGGGGAAAACATGTCAGCAGGTAGACAGACATGGCATTGGAGCAGTAGTTGAGAGCTTATACGTTGATCGACAAACAGGACACAGAGAGAGCTAGCTGGGAATGGCATGGGGTTTTGGAACTTCAATGCCCACCAAAAACACACTTCTTCCAACAAGACCACACTTTCTAATCCTTCCCAAACAGTTCCACCAGCTAGGAACCAAGTATTTACACATATGAGCCTATGGGATCCATTCTCACTCAAACCACCACACTCCTGTCTTCTTTTTACTATGTTAGTCATATGCCAGATATAGATAGATAAGTAGATACATACACACACACACACACACACACACACACACACACACACACACACACATACACCATGAAGTGAGTAAAAATAGAAGCATCAAGGAAATGAGTACTGGTCTTTTTGTTGTTGATTTTTGTTTTTTGAGACAGAATTTCTCTGTGTAGCCTTGGCTGTCCTGGACTTACTTTGTAGACCAGGCTAGCCTCGAACTCACAGAGAGCTATCTGCCTGCCTCTGCCTCTCTGAGTGCTGGTATTACAGGTGTGCACCACTGGGCGCAGCTAGTACTGTCCTTTTTTAAGGCACATGTTCATTGTGGCATTTTGTACTTTTGTATCATCTGCTGACCTCTTTCTCTCTCCCTCTCTCTGCCTTTCTCCTTCACTCTCCTTCTCCCTGCCTCTCTCCCTCTATATCTCTCCCCATCACTGAGATCATCTTACTCTGTAGCCAAGTTGGTTTGAACTTCAGCTCCTCCTGGCTCGGCCTCCCCAGTTCTGGGAGTACAGCTCACCATGTGTCACCATGCTTCTTTAGGGCCTGGATCTTAAAACCTTTCTCTTTCAGTATCCTTTATTACAGCTCTGGAATGCAAACCACTAATTCTCTTTCCAAGTTTTTGCACAATAGAAAACAAGGTTAATATGTGAAAGAAATATATTTTTTTTTCTATACTAATAGAGTAGGGTTTGGTATAACACAGGAGGCCATTTTTGCACTTCAAGACAGGGTCAGTAAATAGGGTATACTCTTAGCAACTGGTTTCATTTATGGCAGTTGAATTAGTGAAACAGGAACAAATTAGTTTTTTAAACAATTGCTTGCTAGGCCAAGGCTGGTGCTATCTGACTCTAAACACAGTACCCAGGAGGCTCAAAGAGAATTGTGAGTTTTAGGCTAACGTATGCACTGTGATACTTTCATTTTTCTTTTTTGTAAAAACAGTCTCATGAAGCTAGGGCTGGCTCAGACTTTCTATGTCCATGCTAAAGATGACCCTAAACTTCTGATCTTCCCAGCTCTATTTTCTGAGTTGCTGGTATTACAGGCATGTGTCACTATGCCTGGTTTTACATGGTTCTGGGGCTAGAACCTAGAGCTTTCTGCATACTAGACAAGCCACCTACACAAGACACTTATCCTAAAAACAAAATTGCTTGTTAGGCAAAAAAAAAAAAAAAAAAAAAAAAACATAAAACAAAACTTAAATTTAAAATAATAATCTGGGGCTGAGATGGCTCAGCAGTTAGGAATGTTTACTGCTCTCACTGGGGGTCTGAATTCAGTTCCCAGAATTACTTCAGACAGCACACAAAGGCATGCAATTCCAGCTTCAGGGGACTCACTGCCCTCTTCTGGCCTATGCAGGCACCTGCAATGAGATGCTCATAACCCACACAGATACTTGCCTCTACACATAATTCTTCTTAAACGCCTTTTAAAAATACACCTTAAAACTTTTGAAATTTTTATTTTAAAAACTAAAATTTTATTTATCATTTGTTTATTTTGTTTAAAAGTTTATTTTAAAAAACAAAATAATTATTTTGGTCAATACTCTTCCTCCAACATCTGAAAAATAAGAGTGTGCTTATCTGACCATTAAGCACTGTACGCAAGCTGACATGTCACACTATACCCCATTAATACATACAAGTATGTCAGTGGCTCTGGAGAACAGTAGTTGGCAATGTCTCCTCTGAAGCCCCAGCTAACCTGGAGCTCACTGTAATCTTCGCCTGTCAGTCTCCCAAGTGCAGGGAATGTAGGTGTGAACAACTACGCTCAGCTAAAAGTTGTGTTTTTAAATGCAGTTTTTAAAGGAAGAGGTCAGTTGTGAATGAAATGCTTTTTGTCTCGTTTTCCAACAGCCTCCCTGGCCAAACAACTGCTTTGTCGAGCATGGCCTCATGGGGAAAAAGTGAAGAACACCGCTTTTAATGACCACCTGCATGATTTGCTCTGGTGAGGGTTTACTTTCTTCCCAGGAGCCAGATAGCATTTTTCCATTTTGCAGTCGTTGGGATCTCTCATGTAGTTACAAACTGAGTTGTGACCTTTGTTAGGGGACTTCAGAGCAAATGGCGGTTTAAAGTGAGTGTAGTTTGGAGTTTGGCTCCTAAGATGCTTTCCTTCTGCTGCTAATTCCTTACTGAAAATCCAGTTAGAGTAGTCTGTAGTTGTGGCCTCCCTTGCTAGGAGTAAGTCAAATATACTTACTGCTCATCATGTCTAAGACATACCCATTTCTTCCAGGGTGTCTAAGAATATTTCTTTTATTTGTTTGTTTGTATTAGTATTATTTTGGTTTATTGAGGTGAACTCACCATGTAGCTGAGGATAGCCTTGAACTTGTTCTGCCTACACCTCTTAAGTACTTACAGGTACAGGTGTATGCCATCCATCTGACTCTTGTGTTTTGCCTGCATGTCTGTGTACCATATGTAAGCACTGCCCTCAGAAGAGGGTATCATAACCCCTGGAACTAGAGCATCAGACATTTGTGAGCCACCAAGTGCTGAGAATTGAACCCAAGTCTTATGGAAGAGCAGCCAGTGCTCTTAACTACTGAACCATCTCTCTAGCCCTCAACTGTGTTTCTTATTGAAACTTTATTTACTCTTAGTTCTTGACAAGCATTTGAAATCTTTGTTATTATTAAAAGTGAACGTCACGCCTGGAGGTGGTGGCAATTACCTTTAATCCCAGTAGTCAGGAGGCAGAGGAAGGTGGGTCTCTTGAGTTCGAGGCCAACCTGGTCTACAGAGTGAGTTCTGGAACAGCCAGGGCTACACAGAGAAACCCTGTCTCAAAAAACAAAAACAAACAGAAAGCAGTGAATGCCACAGTACAGCCAGAGCTATATGAAGAGACCCTTTCTCAAAAAAAAAAAAAAAAAGATCAGAAATTATTTGAAAACTTAACACATGGTAGCATCGCATGAAAGATTCTTCCCATCGCCCACCCCCCACGCCACCCCCTACACCACCCTCCACCCCTGCTTTGGGGCTGGAGAGATGGCTCAGTGCTTAAGAGCACTGGCTCCTCTTCCAGAGGTCCTGAGTAACTGTCTGTGAGTCCGGTTCCAGGAAATCTGGAACCTACACACATACAAACACATAGGCAAAACACCAGTGCACATAAAATTTAAAAACTTTTAAAAAAAGGAAAGATTATTGGTGATGTGATGATTACTAGTACTTGTGTTCTAATATACTTAAGAGGGTTGTGTCTGAGTTCCTGTCTTTTTTCTTTCTCTTTCTTGCTTTCTTTTCTTTTCTTTTCTTTTCTTTTCTTTCTTTCTTTCTCTTTCTTTTCTTTCTTTCTTTTTTCTTTCTTTCTCTCTCTCTCTCTCTTTCTCTCTTTCTCTTTTGTTCTTTCTTGTGTGTGAGAGAGAAAGAGGGGGAGAGTAGGAAGAAACTGGGATACTGGGGATTTAACCTTGCTGGAAAGTATGATACCGCTAAGCAACAACCTCAGTCCTTTTTTTTTAACCTTTTACTTTGAAATGGGTTTATTACTAAGTTGCCAAGGCTCACATTGCCAAGGCTCACATTGAACTCCTTCTGTTATCCCAATCTGGCCTTGAACTTGTGACCTTCCTGTCTCTGACCTCCCAAGTAATTAGGAGTACAGGCCTGTGCCACCAGGCTTGACTCCACCTCTTGAACTTTTGAAACTTTGTCGGGTATTTGTTTGAAATTGACCACTGGGCGTCTGATCTGGTTTTCTACCTGGTTGCTTTTTTGCTCTTTCCTTCAGGAAGTTTCAATAAGGTTCTTGTAGACACTGAACATAGTTGTAGGTGGCTACTGTATAGTTAGCTTTCCACCACTGACAAGATTTCTGAGAAAATGAGTTGTAAAGAGGGGAGGTTTGTTTGGGTTCCTGGTCATACATGTGCTGTGTATGAGTCAGGGTGAGGAGAGGCAGGACCCAGGGGTGGGGCTTGTGGGGAAGCAAAGTTGCTCACATGGCAGCCAGGAAGCAAGGTGGATTTGGGGATTCTATAATGTGTGTCTCTATTCTTTGGCCCTTTGTAAAGCATCTACCTGGAGCATACAGACAACGTTCTAAAGGCCATAGAAGAGATCGCTGGTGTTGGTGTCCCCGAACTGGTTAATGCTCCAAAAGATGCATCTTCCTCTACATTCCCTACATTGACCAGGTAAGGGAGTTCCTGCTCCTTGTCCTCCCTGTAATTATGATGTGCAGGGTAAACTCACCCATCCCTCTGGCAGTTTAAGTCTTGTTGTGTATTCTTTCTAAAATGCTCTCAGTTTGGGTGTGTTAGTTATTTATCTTACCACTCTGATAAACTATCTGACAGAACAGTCTGAGGAGGGAAGGACTTATTTAGGTCACAGTTTCAAGCCATTGTAACAGTTAAGTATGGTGTCAGGAGCTCCTTTGTCATCAGTGGCAAGAGTTTGAGGCTACAGGTTTGGTCACATGACTCAGAGCAGGCCAGAACTCGAGTAAACAGGCCAGAACCAGAAGAAGGGGTAACTTCAATACTTGTTACTCACTCTGCTAGCCACGCCTTCTTCCCAAAGGTTCTACATCCTTCAAAACAGCACTATAAACTAGCCATCAGCCATGCTCAGGTCCTCAGCCTGTGTGGGAATTTCAGATTCAAACCATGTTACCAGGTGTGTAAAAAGATCTCAGAGAGGAATGTAGTGTCACTCCTTACAGTCTAAGGAACTACTATTTGCATACTTAGCATATGCAAGGCTGAGGTCAAATTTCCAACACACCAAAATTGATAAAAATAAGACTAACTGAAGACCATCTTTGTAATACTTTAACCATCTTGAAAAACAATTAATTGTTATACCTAATGATTGTCTTGATGGTTTTAAGTCTTTAAGTATCAATAATTATGGTTACTTGTATAATCAGTCCAGTTTATCAAACACTCTGACATCTTCATCTCGTTTGATCTTAATTCCTGTGGGGTAAAGGTATCATTACCACTGTTTTACTATTGAGGAAAATGATGATTGAAAGAATTTCACAGGGGCAAGAGAGATGGTTCAGAGGTTAAGAGCACTGGCTGCTCTTCCAGGGGCACTGAGTTCAATTCCCAGCAACCACATGGTGGCTCACAACCATCTATAATGAGATCTGGTGCCCTTTTCTGGTGTTCAGGTGTACATGCAAGCAGAACATTGTATACATAATAAATAATCTTTAAAAAGAAAATAGAGTTTCTCTGTTTGCAATCAGTGAAGGGAGCACAGAACCACGACTTAAATTTGGCTTCCTGAACTGTATCACTGCTGCTTCCTGCATCACGGTACCGCGGTTCCAAGCAAACTCCACGTCTCACATTCCACTTGCTTTGGCTTGGGTTTCCATAGGCGCACTCTCTCAGTAGGGTCTCATCCAGTCTGGGCTACCCCCACTCCCTTTGTAGTTAAGGATGACCTTAAACTTCCAATTCTCTTAACCCCTCTTCCTCCTTAGTGCTAATGTTGCACATATGCACTGAGCAATGCCCACCTCGCGAATGCTGAACACAGTGCATGCTAGGCACGAACTATGATCTTCTGAGCTACATCGCAGCCCCTGGGCTCGTTCTTTAATTCTTTCCAGTCACCTCTTTCAGTAGACCTTAGTTAAAACATTCAGAGAGAGAAGTGTAAATGACTGTTGGTATCCTGGCTTCTTCTTACAGGGAACTTCCTAGAAGCTTTTTATAAGCAGTGTATCATGTGGGTATTCATGCCTTCCCCCCCTTATAGGCACACCTTTGTCATTTTCTTCCGTGTGATGATGGCTGAACTGGAGAAGACAGTGAAAGGTCTTCAGGCTGGAACAGCAGCAGATTCACAGCAGGTGCTCCATGCATTCCTCTCAAAAATCAGTGGGCTTTGATTATGTGGGCATTGTTGATTATCTCTTGGGTACAGAGTTTCTCCTAAGCTATTTTCTTTCAGTTACCAAGATCTAGGCGTTTTTTCAAAAGCTTCTTTTCCCTCTAGTTGGAGGTGGGAATTGAGCTGTTTCCCCTTTTTTCTGCCCAATTTGCCACTTCCCACCTGGCTTGAAGAACACCAAGCCTGACTGAGATGATCTGGATCTTGGTAACCTCCCAGGCTGAGCTGAGGTAGACAGGGGCCACAGAGATGTGATGGGCAGCACAGGTTTCTATCTACTTGGAAGTGACTGATTTTCTGTGAGGTGCTCTCATGTTATCACAGTGTGTTTGAACCTGCTGATGAGAACACCGGTTGCCACCTCCTCAGAAGGGATAATTGACAAGCTGTTAGGGGAGGGCAATAGAAGCATTGGGCTGTAACTCAGAGGCCTGTGTTTGGCTGTCCCCAGGTTCACGAAGAGAAGCTTCTCTATTGGAACATGGCTGTTCGGGACTTCAGTATCCTTATCAATCTGATGAAAGTATGGGGACCCCTGACCCGCCTCACTTGCCAGCCTAGACACTAGGGTTCTGGTTTCCAGAATTCGCCCGCTTGCTGTTCTCCTCCCCCTTCCTCAGGCGCTGTTTCCTCCCTTCATGACCTCCTATTCATGCTGGGTAGCCCCTTCTGGCTACTCTGGGTTTTTCCGCCTGTTCTTTTTGCCAGCCGCCTGCACAGTATTCACGACCCGTCATTGCCCCATTTCTCACATCTTGCCTTGGATCCTTTGATCTGCGTACACTTCAACCCTGATTGCCTTTACCGCCCTTTAGCGCCATTTTCTCTACTGTTGGACCATGCTCAGGCTGCTCTGTCAACTTTAAAAGTCAGCCCCTCTCCTCTCCATCTCATCAATTCTTTCTTACGGATTCAGATCAAAGTGTCAGCCCGCTAATAATGCTGTCTTCTCAGCAGCCCTAGTTTGAAGCAATTTCTTGATCCCCTTTGCTTCTTTTTTGCTTTTCCTGGCCTTAAGTTACAAGAGTTTCTTTATTCTGTTTTTTTATTCTTTATTCTATTACACTGTCAACATGCCTTCTGCATTTTAGAATTTCCTGTATCACTCAGAGCTATGCTGTGTGCAGTGGGAAAGAGGCTGACCTCAGGTTTGGTTTCTTGTTTTTCTCCTGTCCAGGTATTCGACAGTTATCCTGTTCTGCACGCGTGTTTAAAGGTAAGAGATTTCCTAGGCTTTGTTTAATGTGTTTTCTTCCTGTGGGTCATTTCAGAGGGGCCTCGGCTAAATAGAATTGCTTTTTTCCTCGTTAATATGCCAGAGTCTGTGCTAATAGGTGGTAGTTGAAGGAAGACAATGGCTAACATTTTCTGTAGTAGTTCAAGGCAATTTTCTCATGAGTTGGAGAATTTTTGGTCAGGGTGTTAGAGCTAGGTTGAATGTCTACAGAGCAATTGAGTCTAAGAACAGTGTTTGTGGTGGGCATGGTGATACACACCCTTAACCCTAGCACTTGAGGGGCAGAAGCAAGTGGATCCCTGTGAGTTTGAGGCCAGCCTGGTCTACACATGGAGCTCTAGGTCAGCCAGGGCTGCATAGTGTGACCTTGCCACAGACAAAGAGGAAAGAGAAGTGCTCATCCTTGTCTTTTGCAGCAGATCCAAGCTCTGCAGGAGGTTGGTCGGTCCTTTGCAACACAAGACAAATGAAAAATTCCTTGGGGTGGTTTGTGAATGTCAAATTGATATTCTGACATTTGCATAACCCTTCCCTTCTCCTATGGATTTCCCTGTCTGGCCCTAGGAGAGTTAATGATAAACCCAAACAGAACTTTATGAGGAGAATGCTTCTTCTCTCCTCTTGGTGTCTTCTCCCAAGTGTGTGGTAACCCCACACACTTGTGGGGTTTGCTTGGTACCTTGTGGCCTTTGCTCTTCACTCTACCCACATTGTAGGAGATGAGCAGATTGTAGGAATAATTTAACTGGAAATGTGTTCCCTTGGTCCTCTCAAAATTTCTACTTTGAGAATGACTCATCCTTCAGGGGCTGGAGTGCAGCTGCCGCTCCGTGTTTTCCACACTGAACAAGGGCTCTGGCCATTGTCTGTGTCTGGGTTCGTGAGTCTATCTAATGCTGGAGCTTATTTATATAGCAGGCCTGTTTACTTTTGAACTTTAATTACATCCTCCAAATTAACTTTTTGCACCACTTCCAATTTATTTGAATGTACACAGTGATGATATAAAACCCTTGGGATAGGTAGCCTGTGTTACCTCACCTGAGGGCTTTTCAACTGAAAGTCCTCAGTCAGAGCTCACACCCTGTCTCTCCCTTCAGTATGGACGTCACTTTGTGGAAGCATTTCTGAAGCAGTGTATGCCGCTCCTCGACTTCAGCTTTAGAAAACATCGGGTAAGAGCTGAGGGCAGAACCAGTTGCCAGGGCTGTCTATGGGTATTTCTGAGCTGGGGTTGGGGGTACAGCAGTTTGTTGCCTATGTTCTGTACAATAATTCTGAGTGACACCATGCCAGCTGTGGCCAGAAATGTCCAGATAGGCTGAGCCTCTCAAATCACTGTTCAGAACCACCCCTACACTTCTCCTCAATCTTTGGGCTTGTTTCCTTTAACTTGTTCGTCATCGTGCTGCTGCACAGCAGGCTGTCCTGAAGCAGTGTCTCTGCAAATGCTTTAGAAGCCACTCATGCTGTAAAACAGGCTTGATAGACTTTTAGAGCCAGGCGATATTCGGAGCTGGCATAGTGAGAATAAAAAGATTTTTTTTGTGTGTTTGTAAATTTATTTAAAACCACCATATGTGTTTGTGTGTAAAATGTAATTTGATCATACACACAGACACCCATTGCCTTCTTATCCCTTTTCTTTCCCACTGAAGCCCCTCTGAAACTTGATTTCTTACACATACATAGAAAGGCGAACTTTACAAACCACTGACAATATTTAGTTACCCTTCATAGCTATGAAGAGAAGAGATGGAATCTTATCCTAATTTACAGATGGGGAATGAGACAGGGTTCCCTACTTAAAACTGCAGTCTAATGTATGCCTGTCACCTAAGTACTGGGAAAGTAGAGGATTAGAAGTTCAAGGTCATCTTCAGCTACGTAGAAAGTTTGAGGCTATTCTGGGGTGCACTAGACCCTGTCTCAAAAACAGTAACAACAACAAAACAAACAAAAACCAAGCTAGGGGCTGGAAAGATAACTCAGTGCTTAAAGGTATGTATTACTCTTCCAGAAGACCCAAGTTGGGCAAAATACATGCATGTGCTTAAAATAAATCTTAAAACAAACAAACAACTAACTCTGCCCAGGTGGCAATGGTGGTGGCACATACCTTTACACCTTTAATTCCAGCACTCTGTAGGCAGAAGCAGGCAAATTTCTGAGTTTGATGCCAGTTTGGTCTACAGAGAGAGATCCAGGACAACCTGAGCTACACAGAGAAACCGTCTCAAAAAAACCAACCAACCAACCAACGAACAAATAAAACCAAACTAGCTCTTAATAGCTAACGGACTGATAGATACTACAGACAGAGTTGAGGCTGGGACTCAGTGGCTAAGTGGCTCAGTACCGTCTGAGAGAAAACTCAGATGATCATTAACACAGGCTGGAACCGACAGTTTACCCTCCCTGGAACCCTTGATGCAAGAACATCTTGCACCTGAAATATCAGTACGTTACACCAGGACATTTATGAATCCTCTCATTTTTAGGGAGATATTCTGAGCTTGCTGGAAACCCTTCAACTGAACACAAGGCTACTTCATCACCTTTGTGGGCATTCCAAGGTAAGAGAGGAACAGGTCTCAATTATGAAGCATAAGCCAGCCATGGCCTGAAACTCATTATGCTGAGGCTCCCTGCTGAGATTATAGGCATGGGCACCAGACCTAGCTTTCAACTCTGTGGCTAAAGGCAGTTTATTTAGAGCAAGCAAATCCTTTGTTGCTGGATGTGACTGACAGTGATCAAAAGGGAAGTTTTGTATTTGAACTCAAATTTTATAGCTATGTTTCCTCTTGAAGTGTTTCTGGGGATCCAAATGTAGTTGTTCACATGTATAACTCCAGCACTTAGAGGCTGGCTGGCCTAGACTGCATAGCAAGCACTGTCTCAGAACAAACCAGAGTCCACTTCTCAGGGGAAGAGAGTATAGAGCATTCCTAGATGAGTTACTGTTACAAAGTGTACTAGGGTTAGGGTTTCTATTGCTGTGATGAAATGCCATGACCCAAACCAAAAGAGTTTATTTAGCTTCCATAGCCTTTGAGGGAAGCCAAGGCAGGAACTGAAACCGGGTAGGAATGTGGAGGCAGGAGCTGATGCAGAGGCCTTGGGGGAGTGCTGCTTACTGGCTTACTCATATCTTGCTCAGTTTGCTTTCTTATAGAACCCAACACTACCAGCCCTACAGGCTGACCTACAGCCAGTCTTGTAGAGGCATTTTCTCAGTTGAGGCGCCCTCCTTTAGCTGTGTCAACTTGACATAAAACTGCCCAACACAAAACTGTGGTGTGCGGTAACTGCACGAGCCTGGGAGAATTCCTAGCCAGTCATGTTAGAGCTTTTCAGCTATAGGTCTTGATTGTGTCTTGTGAGAATAGTTAAGTATTTATTTAAAGACATCTCTAACCCCTGGGGGCTTTTTCTGCTGATTAGTCAACAGAGCGTATAAGAGGCACCTAGAGGTGTTGGTGGTGTCAAGTTTATCTGACTTTTTTTCAGAGTACCCCTCAAACTGTTCCTTTTTGATGGAACATGCCTCTGGGCCATATTCAAAACTTTCTGTTCAAGAAATGTGAAACATGATGATAAACTGGGATGGTTTATTTCTCTTCAGATCCACCAGGACACAAGACTCACCAAACATGTGCCTTTACTCAAAAAGTCCCTGGAGTTGTTAGTGTGCAGAGTCAAAGCCATGCTTGTCCTCAACAACTGTAGAGAAGCGTTCTGGTTGGGCACTCTCAAAAACCGAGACTTACAGGTAAGCCCGAAGTTTAGACCGTTCTGAGCTCCTAGTCCCATTTTTTGTAAAAGCACCAGACAAAACATAAGAGAGGTTGCCTGAGCGCTGTTCTCCCAATATGACTGCCTTTAGGTAGGCCTGCTGGCACAGGCTTGTAATCTCAACTAGTTGGGAGGCTGATGCAGCAGGGTCACAAGTTCAAGGTTTGCCCAGCCTGGGAAGTTTAGCAAAGCTGTCACAAAACTGAAAATAAGTAGCGGGCTAGAGATACTGCTCAGGGGTAGAGTACTTATCAAAATAATGTGTAAGGAACTAGGTGCAGTCCCCATTAGTGGGAAAAAGACTACTGTTACCGTGCCTGTGGTTGATTGAGATTATAAGATTGGAGAGACAGATCAACAGTTAGAGCACTGCCTACTCTTTCAGAGCGCTCAGGTTCGATTCCCAGCACTTAAACATGGCGGCTTACAAAAGTAACCCCAGTTCAGCAGATCCGGTCCCTGCTACTGGCTTCCATGGCCTGCATGCGTGTGGTACACAGACACACCCACAGGCAAAGCACTAATTGACTTTTTAAAATGTGCATGTATGTGTATACATCCCACGTTACCATACATGTGTTTCACATGTATGCAGGATCTAAAGAAGAAAGTGTTGGGTTCTCTAGAACTGGAGTTATAGGCAGTTGGGAGGTACTGAGAACTAAACCTGGGTCCCATGAATAACAGTAAACACTCTTAACTGCCAAGCTATTTCCCCAGCCCCACCAGCTGAGTTTTATAATGGTATATATGAAAAGAATATAACAGTGATTTTCTTTCTTCACATCACACTTATGAAGTCAATTCTATTGTTTTCTTGGAGAAAACTGAAGCTCAGGATAGTAACTTTCACAGACCATTTAGCAGTGAGTTAGTGGAGTCAGGGTTTGAGTCTCGACAATTCCTCAGACTCTGCTTGGCTATTTGTGGTTGGTCTGTGGTACTTATAAGCCTTGAGGTATTGAGAAATATTTTTTTGGCAACAGGGTCTCATTATGTAGCCCACACTAACCACGAACTTTGATTCTCTTCTAAGTTCTGATTACAACTTCAGCCTTTGGGACAATTTTAGATTTTACACTAGCATTAACTGAGAGTCACCAACACAACATCTAGTGTAAAATCTAGTGTAACACATGAATGCAAAAATGAACCTTATATAGAGTTATCACTTCTGTAGGCATCTCAGATACCTACAATTGAACAGCACTTCCCTGAATGGTAGATCAGAGGTTGATATGTTTTGAAGGGCTAGAATATTTCTTCTCTACTACCTAGAAACTCAGACTTCTCCTTAGCCATAAATGTGTTTATTTTAACCCACCATTTGTTTTGCTTCTTCTACATTTAGGGTGAAGAGATTATTTCCCAGAATCCCTCTTCCCCAGAGAGCACTGCAGAGGACAGTGAGGATGGCACGGCATCCCACGTCTCCAGGAACAGAGCAACAGAGGTATCTGCGCAGGCTGGTCTGGCACTGGTGGATCATTTTATTAAGTACTCTTTGTTAGCAGAAAGTACAGGTTTTTCTCTGTATATATCTATTGTTAAATACTTCTGTGTCCAACTTTATTCCCTATAAAGAAAAGCTTTATAAATGCTTTGGGTTCCATAAATTTCAAGTACATCGTCTCAAGGTGTATTGAAAATTTGTTTGCAACATAAGGGGAAAGTTTGTGCATTCACTCCTCTGTACCAAAAACAAAGTGGAGATTTTTTTTCTTCCATTACATAGCCCCCTGTACATACATACATGATCTTGTATGTAAAGGTGTTCTAGAAGGCAGAAGAGACCAGTGTGTTCTATGTTAAAATGAGTTAAACCATTTTAACTTTTGTTTGTTTGCCAGTCCTTGCTGGCCTGGAACTTCCTATGTAGATCAGGCTAGCTTTGAATTCACAGAGATCTGCCTGCCTCTGCCTCCCAAGTGCAGAGATTAAAGGCTTGAATCACCATGCCTGGCCATTTCTGCTTTTTTTATTTTTTTAATTTTAATGTGTATGAGTATTTCTTGTGCATGTTTTTCTGTGCACCATGAGCACGCAGTACCTGTGGCTTCCAGAAGGGAGTGTTTAACCCCCTAGGACTGTGTAACCCCCTAGGAGTTAAACTTGTGAGCCACCATTTGAATGCTAGGTGTTGAACTTGGGTCGTCTGGAAGAACAGCTAGTGCTCTTAATAACACTGATCTATCTCTACAGTTGCTCAACTTGTTTTAACATACAAAATAGAAACATAAAAGCAGAAGCCTACAGAGGGAGACAACGCAACCAGTCCTGATGAGACCTGATAGACTAGCGTCAGATGGAAGGGGAAAAGGACCTCCCCTATCAGTGGACTTGGGGAGAGGCATGGGAGGAGAGGGAGCGAGGGTGAGATTGGGAGGGAATTAAGGAGGGGCTACAGCTGGGATACAAAGTGAATAAATTATAAATTTTTTTTAAAAAGCAGAAGCCTAGAGTCAAACTACCAAGATAGAGAAAATAGTACAGGTCCCCATTCTTTTCTATGGACAGATGCTTTTGTGAATTTAAAGTAAGCTAAATAAAAATGTGTGCATCAAGTTTTGCTCAGTTCACCAGGCAATGGTGGCACTCACCTTTAATCCTAGAACTTGGGAGGCAGAGACAGAAGGATCTCTGTGAGTTTGAGGCCAGCCTGGTCTACAGAGTCAGTTCCAGGACAGCCAAGGCTACACAGAAAAACCCTGTCTTGAAAACCCTTCCCCTGCCACCCCCCCCCCAAAAAAAAGAAAGTTTTGCTCAGTTCGTTTGAATTCTGGATAGCAGGTAGTTCAGGTAGAAGCTGTGCACATATGAAGTCTGTTTGTATGGCTCTATTTTAGTCCTATAATAAACCTCTTCTGCTTATTCTCACAAGGAATATGAGGGAGAAGTATGCTATACCTCTACTACATAGATGTGTCTTAGTAGAGGAGCAAACCAGTTTCCTGCTGGACTCCTGTTGCTATTTGCCAGTACTTGTAATAACCGTTGCTTCGCACACACAACACATACCCTGGTTGCTGGTTTATTCATTCCTTTTGTTTGTGTATGCAGAATCTTGCTATGTAGCCCAGGCTGACCTTGGACTCACAATCCCCCTACCTTACCTCCTGAATCTTGGGATTGCAGAGTTGCCCCACCATATTAGGCCTTGCTCTATATTGAATTAATAATGTGACTTTGAAAAAAAACATATGACTTTGCTTCTGTGTCTTATGCTTAAAGAACAGCTGGAGAGCTTTGACTTTTTAAAAGATCACACAGATTTGATTCAGTTGTAAATAATGATCTCTTGGACTGAATGTGGTGGCTCACATCTTTACTCACAGCACTAGGGAGGCAGAGGCAGATGGTTGTCTGTGGGTTCAAGGCCAGCCTGGTCTGTGTAGCAAGTTCTGAGCCAGATAGGGTTACACAGTGAGACCTTGCCTCAACAAATCAAAATGAAACCTTTCTTTATAGTCTTGGCTTATAGTTCATGACAAGAATTATGGGGAAGCAAAGTATGGTGGCACATGCCTTTAGTCCCAGCACGTGGAGGCAGAGGCAGGTGGATCTCCTAAGTTTGAGGCCAGGCAAGGGCTACATAGAGACACCCCCATCTCAAAAGATGAAGACAAAGTGGGATAACCATGGCAGAACGCTCCTGCAATCCCAATAGTTGGGGGGTGGAGGAAGCTCACAAACTCAAGGTCATTCTTGGCAACATAATGAGCTTGAGAGAACTTGAGCAACATCAGATACTGTCTCAAAATGAAAACAGGAGAGCTGCTTTAGCTCACAAATATTTTAAACTCTTTGTTGCCTTTAAGAATGAAAATGGTATAGTGTACATTTGTGAGGGTTGTGGTGCAAGAATTGGCCTAAAGTGCTTTTCTTTTTTGTCCCATAGGATGGAGATGAAGAAGCAAGTGATGGACAAAAGGACCAAGACAGTGATGAAAGTGATGACAGTTCGGATTAGACCCCAGCCCAGGGACACGCTGTCCCTTCCTCACCTCTGTCAGCCTCTTACCATTTTCTCTTTGGGGTTGGAAGTCTGGTCTCTACCTTTCTAACTAGAAGCATCCTGTTGACCCTTCAAGAGGGTTTTTTTTATTTAATTAACCAATCAGTGGATTCCACAGATTGGCTACCAACAACCAGGTCCCTGGCTGAGGAGTTGAATGTAGCATCTGTCGGTGGTTTGGATAAACGTAGTTGTCTTGCGCTGCAGAGTAAATGCTCTTTCTGGGCCTTGCAGGCTAGTTTTGGAAGCACTTTATTTTTAAATTTAGGCTTATTATAGCTTTGTAAATAAATCCTTTTCTGAGTTTTGCCTCAGCCACCTTATTCCTCATTTTAGATGTGTCTTATTATTCAAGGCTTATTATTCAAATTAAGATTGAGTTGTTGTTTTTGCAGTCATGCCAGTGGCCTAAATGTGTCTCTCAAATTATCAACTTCCTGGAGGAATGACTTGACTTTATCAATGATCAAAAAGTCAAAAAAGAACATTTTAACTATCTTTTAATTGGATTTTGGTTTGTTTTGAGGGCCTCTTTATGTAGTCCTGGCTATTGTGGTATTAGGTATGCTGACCAGGAGGGTCTTGAACACTTCCTTTGAATTTTTAAACATTTCTTTTTATAAATATGTGTGTGGGCACGTACATGCTGCGGTGCACGTGTGGAGGTCAGAGTAGGTTCTCTCCTTCCACCATACAGGTTTCCAGGATCAAACTCCACACCCTTTACCTGCTTACCCATCTCACCAGCTCCCTTCTAAAATTTATTAGTATGAAACAAAGGAAGAAAAGACATCATCAGACATCTGCTGGCTTTGTATGTAAATACAGTATTTATTTCCACATTACTCTGAATTATGCCTAGGATCTATTTTTTAAGAATCATACAAAATAATTATAGTTTATTAGAAATAGAACATCAGGAACTAAAGTCAGGGATCCTGTCTTCTGCCAGAAAGCCCGGTCTCAAAACTGCTGTCAGGCTCTTCCTTGCCATGTCACTAAGACTATTTAATACTTGCTAATATTTTTGCCTATACAGGTATTAAAGTTACTTTTTTTTTTCTAGTGATTCACATTTGTTTGAGGAGGGAATGCAATTTTTAAATTAACCCTTAACCCATGTACATTTTTGACCCCTTCATCCTCTGGTCCCCAGAAATCCATACATGTCTTTTCTTGGCATCCCTTTTCTTTGCCAGCTCATCATTGTCTATGGCATTTGAGCGTGTTCACATTAGGCTGACTTACTTATATGATAAGTTCATCATTATCACATGTGCACGTCAATATTAGGCTAACTTTTGAATGGTCATTCAGCTTTAGAGTGGAAATGTTCTTCCTTGCTCAGTGTCATCGGTCCTATTTCTGAAAAGAGGGGAGAAGGGGAAACTCCAGAATTGTCACAGCATGACCGAAAGGAAAAATATTTGGCATGATGTCACAGTTTCATTTATGTAGACAGGTCTATGTAAGCTTTGGGTACATACCATTGAGCATGGTGTGGAGCTCAGGGCTCAGACGGGGACCCTTTACTTGGAGTGCTGCAAGGCAAAGGTGCACTTCTTGTAGGTCGCATACAGCAGGAGGATGGAGCGTAGCATCTGTTTGCACATAGTCACTGTCATCTGAATCTGAGGCTCCTTGAGTCCAGTGGGCCACTGGTGCTCCCTGCTGATAATTTTGCAGAAGGCTGATTTGTCTGAAACTCTGAAGGTTCCAGTCCACTTGGGTGGCTGGGCTGTGATGACCCTACCAAAGACAGAATCCACTCCACTGAGGCGGACGGGCTGGGGCTTCCTCACCACTCCTTTCTTGTTATTCGTGGCTCGGAGCTCTGATGTGTGACAAGGCAACTTGGGGCTCTCTCCAGATTCCACAAGTGGGCTGTCTAGGACAAGTGTGACTTCTTGAAAGCACAACTGCACTTCAAGGTCAGAAGGAGTGTGGGGGAAACAAGGAGAGGCCCTAAAAGGGTGTTTGGAGGAAGGGGTAGGTGTTGTGTGCCGCAGCCATTGGAAGCTTTCATCCAGTGGGGTCCATGGTGACCAGAGCTGGTAGCCTGCCATTGACAGTCCTAAAGGAAAGGAATCAGACATGGAATTTCCCTGCTGTGCTTAGGGGGGAGGGGAAGGGCATGTCTGTGCACACTCACAACCGTCCCATCCCTGACTTAAACGTAGTCGTTCCCACCGAACAGATGCCAGCACATGGCAGGGGTCAGTGGGTCTATAAAGGGCAACAAACACTGAATGTGGCAACTGCTGTGCATACTAAAACTTCATTAAACCTTTTCCAAGCCTCTGTAAGAAAGTTAACCCATTCTACAAATGATACGAATTTGTCTGAAGTGGAGTATCTCAATCAATGTCTCGGTGAGGAGGGGTGGGGGCCCGGCAAAAGTGGCCAGACTTCATGAGGAGACATTATTTGATGAGAATTCAGCCCGTATCTTACGAGCATTTGTAACTGGGACTTTGTCAGAGCTCTCAAAGTATAACCCCTGAACTAGCAATTTTAACATTAGGGATCTGATAGAAATGCAAGCTTTTGGGGCCCCATCGCAGGCCTACTGAATTAGAGATGTGGAACGGGAGCCAGAAGTTTGCACATATACAAATCCTCCAAAGATTCCGTTGCACCTTACAGTTTGTAGACTACAGCATGACTTTTAAACAACCTCCACTTTTCACTATTGCTTATGGAGACATTCAAGGGGTGGGGGGTGGAGGGGAAGTACCTGGCTTGATGGCTTATGCCTACTATGTTCTTAAAACTTGGAAGGTAGAGGTAGGAGAATCATTACAAGTTGGAAGTACCACTGTTTTCCATAGTGAGTTCCAAGCCAGCCAGCACTACATAGAGACCCAACCCTCTTCCCATCCCCTCCCCGAGAAAAGGACTCAACAGTTAAGACTCCTTGCTACTATTTTAGAGGATCTGAGTTTGGTTCCCAGTTCCAATGTGGGGCATCTTAGAGCTGCCTGTAACTACAGCTCCGGGGAACCCAACAACGGAATTTTCTATATTCCATCAGTGCCTGAACATACCGATAGACTATATATAATGTCTTTGAAAAAAAAAAATCCCAGCACTTGGAAAGTCAGAGGTAGGTGATCTCTAAATTCAAGGACAGCCTGGTCTACATAGTGAGTTCTAGCACAGCCAGGGCTACATAAGGAAACCCTGTCCTTAAAAAACAAAACAAAAATTTAATGACAGAAAACCCAACTCCTAAACAAAAATATGATTGCGATAGTTTCTTGGTCCTAAAAGCATTCTGATAGAAGAGAATGCTAGAGGACTAGGAAACTTACACAGCACCTTGGAAGAGAGGTACGTTCTTTAAAATTTGTTCACCCCTCCCACATACAGATATATTTTTTTCACATGTAAGATACCCATTGGATAATACCTTGAATTTTCCTTAAGTGCTATTAAAATATATTAAACCAAAAATTATCCAAGTAGAATTTTGATTTCCCGTCATTCTACTTCCAAATAGACAGTGTCTCCTGAATTCAGAAGCTAACATTTTTTAGCACCTTCCTCTTATGTGAAGGGGCATTACAGGTCCCATTTCTGTATAAGTCCCATGCACTGGCCCATTGCACCACTGGGACCCCATGTTTTCAGCCAAGTCTAAGTCTTTGTCCTCCCCCCACCCTTTCTACCTCAAGACCACAGCCACACATCCTGCCAGAAGTTGCCATAACCAAAAGGCTGACACCTCCCCACTGAGGTTCATTTAAAACCAAACAGACAAAAACTGGGAAAATTTCAAAATGGGAGTGCCCTTTGACAGTGATTAGGACGAAGTTAATTTGCTGATTTCCTCCAATTGACAAGGTTTCTCAGCCTGTGCAGTCACTTTGCAAGTTGCTAAGTTTCCTATTTCTGGGCTGCCTTAGGAAGAGAAACAGACACGGAAGGGCCTATTCCAAACTGCTTAGGAGGCATCCCGTACTACATATTTTGGATTTAAGAGCACAAAGCCGATGCTTGTCATTTCAGCACTTGAGAGGCTGAAGCAGGAGGATTGCTATGAGTTCAATAACAGCCTGAATTGCATAGAGTAAGACCTTGTCTGGAAAAAAAAAAAAATTCCAGGTAGTACACCGCCATGGCAAGGTTGATGGAAGGTATCAATGCCTCTAAACTTTTTAAAAATCCATTTATAGTCTCCTAAAAAAAAATACAGCAAAAGGAAAAAAAAAAAAATCCAATGTCCAACCTAAACCAATAGAGATGGGAGGGCTTTGGACTCCAGGTCTTTCCACTCCTTCTCACAAGGTTTAAATAAAAATGGTCCTGCCCCAGTCCCCAGCATCAAGGGAGTAGCTTTAATCTATTCCAGGGGTGAGGAGTGCACCTGGAGACTCTGTGCAAGCTGCTGTAGGGAACATCTGTTTTCCCTGTCATTTTATTGGCGCCTTCCTTCTAAGGAACACCGATTCTCGATTTCCCCACCTGGGAAAGGGGAAGGCAGCGCCAAAGTACAGCTGAAATCCTCGTGAACTGTGAAAAGATCGCGAGCGGCTGGAGTGCTTGGAGAACAGGCCTGTCTCCCTTGAAGTCCCTCCCCCGGGGCGGGAGCCACACGACTCTGGCCGAGGCCGGGACAGCGGTGGGAGCCCGGCCCCGGACCAACCATCACCATCCGGCCGGAGCTCACCTACTGAACTCCACGCGGACTGCAGGATCCAGAGTAGCTGCCGCATCTTTTCTCTACCCGGGCGCTTGGCAACCGCCTTTGTGACTCAGGACTGTGGGGGCGGGGCGGGCGGGGCGGGCGGGGCGGGGCTCTTTTTGGAGGCCTCCGACGCGGGACAGCACCAGCACCACCCCTTCAAGTTCCTAACCCAACCCTTCATCACACCTGTGTGCGTTTGACAGGCACAGAAGACAACCCCCACCCCGTGTCAAAGGCTGCGGTCAAGTGTGGAAGTTGCAAGTTAGTGTTAAAAGCTAACCTTTCCTCATCATACCCTGGCTCACCCTGTGTGCCAATGTTCAGAGAAGTGTTATTCTGTACCGGAAGGACTCCAATGTAAGGAAACAGAATTATAAATGCTCACCTGAGCCGGGTGTGGTGGTGCACACCTGTAAGTCCAGCAGTCGGGGAGGCAGAGGCAAGTGGATTTCTGTGGGTTCGAGGCCAGCCTAGTCTACAAAGCGAGTCCAGGATAGCCAAGGCCACACAGAGAAACTCTATCTAGAAATAATAACCAAACAAACAAGTGTTCACCTGGTAAGAAAAGAAAAAAAAAATAGTTTCATGCCTTTGATCCTAGCACTTGGGGAGGCAGAGGCAGGTGGATTACTATGAGTTCAAGGCCAGCCTGGTCTACAAAGCAAGTCCAGGATAGCCAAGGCTACACAGAGAAACCCTGTCTCAAACAAACAAAAAAACAAAAAGAAAAAATACATCTTTAACTTTCCGACTGAAAATTTGTCTTCTTTATTTTATTTTATATGTACAAATGTTTTGCCTGTGTATATGTTTGAGTGTCACATGACCATGGAAGTAAGAAGAACTGGAGTTATAGATGGTTGTGAGGTACCATGTGGATGCTGGGAATTGAACTCAGGTCCTCTGCAAGAGCAGCCAGTGCTCTTAACCACTGAGCTGTCTCCACAGCCCAACTGTCTTCTTTAACTTCAAAATATTATTAAGTTTATGTTTGCCTGTGTGGGTTTATGTGCAATGCAGGTTTATGTTTGTGCAGGAGACCTTGGGGCAAGAAAAGAGCCATCAACCAGGTCCTCCACAAGAGCATCAAGTACTCTCAATTGCTAAGCCATCTCTCCAGCCCCATACTTCCTTCTGTCTTCAGTTAAACCTCAAGATGCTTCTGTCTCAGGTGCAATGAGAAGCAGTCTGAGCGCAGTGAAAGCCAATGCTCTGAGCAGCACATCCATTAGCGTGCATAGCTGTGGAAAGCAGTTGCCCTCTCCACCCCCAATTATTTCACTCATAACATGCAAGTGTCTGGAGGAAGGACTGAAGAGAGAGCTAACAACTTACCTGCTCTTTCCTTTGTTTTTGTTTTGTTGTTTTTGGTTTTGGTTTTGGCTGTTTTTGAGACAGGATTTCTCTCCTGGCTGTTCTGGAACTTCCTCTGTAGACTAGGCTATCTTCTAACTCACAGAGATCCAATGACCTCTGCCTCCCATGTGCTGGTTAAAGGCATGCACCACCACACCTGGCCCACCTGCTCTTAAACACAGAATTAGCCCTGCATTTCCCCTACTATAGAAAAAAAGTTGGTGCCCATCAGTAGCGGCACACACCTTTAATCCCAGCACTTGGGAGGCAGAGGCAGACGTATCTATCTCTGTGAGTTTGGGGCCAGCCTGGTCTACAGAGCAAGTTCCAGGACAGCCAGGGCTATGTGGAGAGACCCTGTCTTGAAAAACAAACAAACAAAATGTTGGTGTCTGTAACTCCAATTTCAGGGGATCCAACACCCTCACACAGACACATGCAGGCGAAACACCAATGCATATAAAATAAAATTTAAAATAAATTATTAAAAAAGAAAAAATTGTTGGACACGCCAGGCATTTTGATACATGCTTGTAATCTCAGTACTCATGAGACTAAGGCGGGAGGCCTGGCCTGAGTTTAAAGCCAGCTGGGATACACAGCAAGCTGCAACGGGAAAACACTTTAACTGTAAAGAGGGCTTGAGGCAATGTCTGCTGAGACGGAGGATTAAAGGATTGGGGTCAGGCAGAGATCTGGGTTTGGAAGATCTAGAGAGTCTTCAGGCATTTGTCCAGTGTCCACCGTGTATACCTGTATACCCCAGTACAGATGGAGCAAATAATTTGAATGGAAATCAGAAACCAGAGAAAGAAGAAAATTATGAAGAGAGGTAAGTGCTTTTGGATTACAACTTCTCAGTCTGTTTTTATCTTTCTCCTGATTAAGAGATACCTGCTATTTTAAAAGGCAAATGAAATTGTAGTTACTGCACGTTATTTTTTTTTAAATATGAAAGTGCCCGAAGCCAAGATCAGATTATTAGACTTGTTGGATAAAGAGGTATTCGTACTGCTGTGACAATCTGTACACAGTCCTCTGTGCAATCTGCCAGATCTAAGGGACATGTTCTGGGAGGTACCATTTGCTATTACCACCACCGGTATCCAGCAAAACCAGAGTCTCCTTATGTTAATCAATTGCAGTGAAATATCTGAGCCAGCCTTCTTAGACAGAGGGAAACACACACACACACACACACACACACACACACACACTGTAAAACAAAACTCTGGTACTGGCCATGGCAAATGGCAAGGACATGTGGAGAGAAGGAAGTCAGATAGGGAGCAAGAAGCAGAAAGAACTGGGGTGGGCTAGGTTCAGGCTTCTGTAACATCTGGCTCTAGAAAAACCACACCAAGGAGCTGGCATTCCCAAAGACATTCATAAGTTGAAATTTTAAAAAATTTGTATCTTGGCACTGGGCAGTGGTGGTGCATACCTTTAATCTCACCACTTGGGAGGCAGAGGCAGGCAGATTTCTAAGTTCAAGGCCACCCTGGTCTATAGGGTGAGTTTCAGGGCAGCTAGGACTGCTGGGCACAGTGGCACACACCTGTAATTCCAGCACGGGGTGGTGGTGGGGAGGAGCAAGACAGGCAGATCTCTGTGAGTTCGAGGCCAGCCTGGTCTAAAATGTGAGTCCAGGACAGCCAAGGCTACACAGAGAAACCCTGTCTCAAAAATCAAAAACAAAAACCAAAAAAAAAAAAAAAAAAAAAAAAAAAACCCACAAAAATATATGTAATTCTCTTCAGTATAGTATGTCCTTTCATGTTGCCATGTATCTAATTAGCACTTAAAGACTTCTTAATAAAATCGTGTCATGGATTGGCTATACCATTGTTTGGCCTTACTTCAATTATTATAGCAGATGTTAGCTCAAAGACCATCCTGATCGTTAAAGTCTTTTCCCCATTGCGCCTTGCTGGGTATTCCAGCCGGCCTTATACTCTGGACAGGCCTTCTGCCTTAGTTTCTTGAGTGTTGAGATTACAATGACCAATTCCTTCGACGTTTTTCTTAATGAGGTGATTAGTGAAAAGGTGAGACCATTTTGTGGTTCTTCATACAAACTGTATTAGCTTATCCTATGACCAGGGCCTTACCATTTTTGCTTCAGCCGGTCTATCACCGGATATTAGCATTAAAATATATAGTCTGCTCATTTGGTAAATGTAAAATAGCCTGTCATACCGCGGGGTCGAAAGTCATTTTAAATATGGAGATTCAGAGCCGATGGGATGCCACCAAGCCTGATGACCTGAGTTCTAACCCACAAGGTGAAAGGTGAGGTAGACTACAAGTTGTCCTCTGACTTCCATCTGTGTGTTGTGCCACGTGGACGCTCACACTCACAAATAATATGAATAAAATAGTTTCAGCCTAGCGGCGGTGGCACTCGCCTTTAATTCTACATTTCGGGAGCCAGAGGCAGTTCTCAGAGGGAGTTTCCAGGGCAGCCAGGGCTACCCAGAGAGACCCTGTCTCGAAAAACGAAAAATACCAACAACAAAAAATTAAAAAACAAAACAAAACAAAACAAAATAGAGTTGGCACTCAAGCATGAGAAGCATTTTGAATAAGGTGAATTCGTGGACTGTGTCCATCTTCGCTGTCAAGCCAACTCCGAGCAACTCTGGGCGGAGGTGGGCATGCGGGCCCCTAAAGATAAGAACCGCCAGCGGTCAGCGCGGGCGTGTGGCCGGGGCTTGTGGCGCTCTGGGTCTGAACCTCCGCAGTAGAGAATTCTTGTTTGTCCCAGCGTGGGAGACGCGCTAGAACGCAGAACGAAGGGACTGGCTCTGCGCACGCGCGCCGATAAGCCAGGCCCTGGGCTCGAACACTTGGGTGCGGGCTGGCGGCGCAGGCGCATTGGCGGCCTGTAGAGGTCGCAGCGCCTGCGCAGTCACTCTTCCTCAGGCGGCCGCCATGGCGGGGCAAGAGGATCCGGTGCAGCGGGAGATTCACCAGGACTGGGCGAACCGGGAGTACATTGAGATCATTACCAGCAGCATCAAGAAAATCTCGGACTTTCTCAACTCTTTCGGTCAGCGGGCGAGCAGGGGAGGCTGGGAGGAGGGAGGCATCGCAGGCGGCCGGCGGCGCTGAGGAGAGGTGCGCCGTCCTGGCTACTCGCTTCCTCTTCCGCGCCCCGCCGGCCACGGTCCCTTCACCCCGAGCCTCACTAGGCCGTCTCCGTGGCTCTACCCTGCCCATTGCCATGCCTCACTTGCGCACGTCAGCACGCCCACTGCCCAGCCTCCTAGGCCCATCCATCCATCACCCGTCCTGGTTTGCGCTGCGCTTCTATGCCAGTCTCCACTTGGCACGCTGGGCGCAGCCGTTTCCCGGTCACGCTTATTCCTGACAGTTCTTCCTCTCCTCCAGGATCGAGCCCGAAACCCCTTAGTGCCGTGCCTTCTATTGCTCCCTTTCAACAGTTTCCCTGCCATTCATTCCTCCCCGTGTCCCTTTGGTGCCAGTGCTGAGAGTGGTAAGGGATGGTGTCAGAGGAATGACTTTGGACCCCTCGGGCCTTGGAAATGCCTTGTAGCCCTGTATCTGCTTCATGGTAGGTGTTCTGGGGGCTTCCTTCTGGTTCCTCGGATTTAACAGGGCGCCTACTTTGAGCAGGGTCCACTTGTGTGGCCAGCTGGTGACAGTCTTCTGT